TAATAAACATAACAGAATGAAACATTTCAGATAAAGAACAAATAGTAGTAATAATAACAAAAGTCAAACATATAGATGTTATACATATTTGAAATCAGCGAAACATATTACATATTTTGATAATACAATTAATTATAAATGAATTAGAAATATATACATTATTTACAATTATTATTTAGTAAATGGACATGAATTTGGTTAATTACCCTTATAAAATCGAAGGCGAAACGACTAGTTTGTAAACTGTTTCTTGATTGGTTCGTAGACTCTAGCTACAATCAAGGCCAGGGCAAATAATTTGAAATCGTGGAAACCCTATGGATTAACCCAGGGTATAGTGGAGTAGAACGGAATGAAAAACTGGGGATACCGAGGATGCGTGTACGTTCGATTATGAGAAAGTTTGCAAGACTTTTAATACCAAAGAAGTGACATTCCCCTCCCCCAAAAATATCCTAGAGTATTTTGACAATCTGATTAAAACATAGATCCTATTTCGTTTCGTTTTTATAGTTCAAAATTTCGTTTAACTTGTTTTTACAACAAGAGGATCGAGAAGAGTTGTTATCATTGACGTGTTTTGAATGGTGTGAGGAATTAGGAAATGAAACGATCTGTTACGGCGAGCTTTAGGCGTGTTTTGCCCCGATTGGTTAATCAAATATCTGACGTCATAGAGTAAAATGCCGCTCGTATGACCGCTGACCCGACCTATCGATAGGTCGGGTCAGATGTCCATGTAGTGTAGTCCATCGAAAGTATAAAAAAACGAAACGAAATATAGATCTGTATTTTAATCAGATTGGTATTTTGACAAAGTTTACAACAATGTTTCGACAATCTTAATTTCAACAAAATGCGAGTTACCTCCCTTCGCCCACTCGTTGTATATTTATGGAGTATTGTGATTGGTCGATAAGAATAGCAGAAATATCAGGGGCGGATAATTTGGTCACGTTTTTCCCCCGAGAATGGCTCCAGGGGTTAGTGGAGTAGAACGGGACGATATACAACTGGGGATGCCGAATATAGCAAAGATCTAACTTTAAATCCGTAATTTATATCTGTTCAACCTCTGCTGTCACATAATTATTATTGTTATTATTACTATTATTATTATTACACCACGTCTATACAGTGAAAGCTGAACTATAAAACAAATGTCACTGCCTTGGTCTCAATACACAACACCGTCTATGTGTGCATACCACCAATATTATTCAAATAATATGCATGCTGTTGAAAAAAACCGAAGTATATACATTACCTTAATATAACACCATCACCGTTAATTCCACAGACCTCACTGAGAAGTCAAATATCTATCAACTTTCCCATTTATGACGAGGCAAGGTAGTTTGAGACATCTGGTACCACTGCTCAATTATTCCGAATGTTCACATCGATGAAGGGTTTTAACAACGTTTCTCACAAAGATTCATTACGGAAATAAAGGAAGTCAAGAGTAATTACATTTGGCGTGGGTAATATCAATCTAGAGTTACACGGTGCACATCAGATATGAAATGTCAAATAAGGTTCATGATTAGGAAGGAAGTAGTTTAAGGTCTTCTCATAGTCTTACTTAGATGGACTCGTTGATTCTACTTCACCGACTATTGACCAGGTCTTATAATTAACATGGTGGACGCTCATGGTGGAGCATGAGGTAGAGCATCTGGGGCTAACAAATAAGGCATTAAGCCGTGTATACATTGATATGTACGTAAAGCTTCATTGATAGTTTGAATTCGATGAAGAGACGATGGAACCACCACCCCATGTCAGGACAAATTACATACGTGACCATGCAAACAATTAACCGATTGTTTGTCTCAAACTGACGGTGGTACCGTTTCCAACGTCTGGGTCGAGACCCCAGCTGGGTTCACCAAGTCATTTTCGTGGGGCCGTGGCGGACTTCACTGAAAATTTTGAAACAATGCTATGTTTTCATGAAAAGCATACCAATCTCTGATCTTTACACCTATTGCCACATTGGCAATCGTCTTTCTTCAAATTGTACAAAGGTCTAAACAAGTAAACAATAAGTTTCATAGTAAAAGGTGAGTTTGTTCTTCGAGGGGTCGTGGTCAGATGATGGTTTCTGGAATGGGGGCGCAACCAACAAAAGGTTGGGACCACAGTCATAGTCAGTGTTATTGCATAAAATCTGATTTCCCCAAGATACTTCAATGGCTACATGAGGGCGTCGGATTGGGTCAACTTAACACAAACTTCTTAAACAAGTAGTAAGACTAGTGTTCTATGGAAATTGTAAATGTGAAAATGATAGCCGCTTGAACCGAGTGGATACTAATATCACAACCCAACACCTTATCCCAAATGATATTTCATATTCGATAGTTGTTAATAAACGCCGACATGAAAGAAGAAGGATATTGTTGTTCTTGAAATCTTGTATTTAAGTAATGTTTATGTGTGATGGGGAGTGTTTGTTTCATTTGGGGGATGGTGGGCTAATATCTCCCGGTGTAGTGGATTGGATGTATGATAGAGTGGTTTGTGTGTATGATGGAGCGGTTTGGATGTATGATTGAGTGGTTTGGGTATATGATGGAGTGGTTTGGGTGTGTTATTGAGAAGTTTGGGTGTATGATGGAGTGGTTGGGGTGTATTATTGATTGGTTTGGGTGTATGATGGAGTGGTTTGTGTGTATTATTGAGAGGTTTGTGTGTATGATGGAGAGGTTTAGGTGTGATGTTACCTTGAATTACTCTGCAGTAGAGTGTACCGTTAAGTTAATGGTTTAATTATGTATTTAAGATACAGTATCTTGTCGTCGTCCGATTATTGTTTAGTAAATACCCATTATACCCACGACTACATGTCAGATCGTACCGACCGTATCCTTACTAGCTTACTATTGAAACGGACCGTTTATACACACGACTACATGCCAGATCGTACCGACCGTATCCTTACTAGCTTACTATTGAAACGGACCGTTTATACCCACGACTACATGCCAGATCGTACCGACCGTATTCTAGCTAGCTAGCTAGCTATTGAAACGGACCGTTTATACCCACGGCTACATGTCAGATTGTACCGACCGTATTCGAACTAGCTTTCTATTGAAACGTCAACTGGCAGGGTTTCGATTCCCCGGTTGTAAGTGACACGGAGTAGGGTCGCCTGTCCAACCGCGTGGGTTTTCTCCGGGTCCTCCGGTTTCCCCCCACTGCTAAAGACCCCTACGCGCAAGCGAATTATTGAAATAAAATTAAACCATATGTTAGTCCCGAAATTACCTAATTTGTGTCGAGTGGACGTTAAACCCCATTTCTCCCTCTCTCTCTTTTTCTATTGAAACGGACCGTTTATACCCACGACTACATGTCAGATCGTACCGACCGTATTATAGCTAGCTAGCTGTTGAAACGGACCGTTTATACCCACGACTACATGCCAGATCGTAATAATTGTATTCTAGCTAGCTAGGTATTGAAACGGACCGTTTATACCTACGACTACATGTCAGATCGTACCGACCGTATTATAGCTAGCTAGCTGTTGAAACGGACCGTTTATACCCACGACTACATGCCAGATCGTAATAATTTATTCTAGCTAGCTAGGTATTGAAACGGACCGTTTATACCTACGACTACATGTCAGATCGTACCGATCGTAGTCTAGCTAGTTAGCTGTTGAAACGGATCGTTTATACCCACGACTACATGTCAGATCGTACCGATCGTATTCTAGCTAGCTAGCTATTGAAACGGGCCGTTTATACCTACGACTACATGTCAGATCGTACCGATCGTATTCTAGCTACCTAGCTATTAAAACGGAGCGTTTATACCTACGACTACATATCAGATCGTACCGATCGTATTCTAGCTAGCTAGCTGTTGAAACGGGCCGTTTATACCCACGACTATATGTCAGATCGTACCGACCGTATTTGAACTAGCTTTCTATTGAAACGGATCGTTTATACCCACGACTACATGCCAGATCGTACCGACCGTATTCTAGCTAGCTAGCTAGCTATTGAATCGGACCGTTTATACCCACGACTACATGTCAGATCGTACCGATCGTATTCTAGCTAGCTAGCTGTTGAAACGGACCGTTTATACCCACGACTACATGCCAGATCGTACCGATCGTATTCTAGCTAGCTAACTATTTAAACCGACCGTTTATAAATATCCCTGAAGCGATCGTTTTGACCTTGATTTCGGAAGGTGGAATATATCCATTCGGCTTAACCCACACCTTCTCTTTAATCGACATACGTAATAAACACCAACCAATACAAATGCTACAATCATATCAAATCTAAAGATCCGATCGAGTGGAACCGACTCTACATCCCATTCAATGAAATGATTCCAAAATCTGCAGATCTGATCGAGTGGAACCTACCCATGTTTCATTCTAAGTTGTACATCCCCCCACCCCCACCCCCGTGCTATAATATTTATTCTATTTTGATTCGTACACTAAATTCAATCCATACCAATGATACAAATGATGCCAAATCGTCCAGTGGATCGAGTTAGGCGAATCGACTCGTACTGCGATTATGCCTTCTATTCTAAACCGTATAACGCACTTTATCAATATTAATGATAAGAGATACCAAATTTACTTGTTAGATGAACCAAACTGATCCATATTGAATTCTGCATTCTATATAAAAAAATATCAACATTCGGCAAAGCCTCGTTTTGTTTTTACTTTATGGACTTGTGCTGATATTTTTTATGATACGAATCTGCTGGTTAAATGAACCGAGTTAGGAGGACCGACGCATACTGCTATCTATATTTTATTCTGAACTGTATAAGGTAATTATATACACAGGTTAGATTAACTGATCTAGGGGATTGGTGTAATCAACTCGTTGATTGGTTAATCTGGGGACCGTCCGTAACAAAATCTACATTATGGTCTGATTCGTACAACCCATAAAACGATAAGAGGAATTATATCTAAAACAAAAGTCAATGAAGACATGGGATATTATTTCACGTAGTTTTAATTTATAAATAAATTACACAACAACGAACTAACAATTACACAACAATTACATAACAATTATATAACAATAAATTGCATTCCACTATATTTTAATACCTATAACAACTACGGGGATGAAAACTGAATTTATAACCCTCAACCTGACTGGTTCTGACTGCGATATTATTGTTGGTGGAGGAGGACGTTAACCACCCCTTACAAAAAATAGGTCATGGTTTCTAAATATAAAACCAATAAAACGTTTCCATTTATATCGCTATGAAGTCATGAGTATCTCAGATCATAATGATGTTTCGTTTCGATATCATATTCCAGGTGTTCTTGCACCCCTGCCCCACCCTTAATCATCACCAATCGCCCACAAATCCACAATGGAAACGTATAATAGAAGTGTAAACAAACGGTTACTACATAGTTATCTCCCTTTATAAATCTATTTTACTATTCAACACATTACCACTGTAACGTTGATATCGTTGACTAAGCAACAAATAACTGTTACAAATGAAAACATACGACACTAATAGATCAAAGTCATCAGTTATATACATTAGTTAGTTAGTTTAAAGATACATTATTTAGGACCTAAATATGCCTATTATGGGCCCTTTTTTTTATCTAGCCTCAAATGTTGATTACCCTCGAGATTTGAGATTTCCGGCGAATTTATTTTCATAGGTTTGATTATTTCGACCTGATTGCTCCATTGCAAAACTCTCTCTCTCTGGTCATCAACTATGAAAAAAAACCCAATAAATTCTACAGAAAACATATTCAATATTTTGTATTTTAATGTTTAGTTTTTAAATAGATAAAAACAATAAGCAGGTTTTAGAAATTAAACTCGTCTTTTTTTGTTTAAAATTATAATATTTACTTTGATTGTAAAAATGAATCTGTAAGCCGGAAGTGTTACTACCATAGAGAGATTTTACACTTTAATTAGAAATGTTTGTTCCATAAGATTTGCCAAGCAATCTTCAATATCTGAATATCGTTTGCTTTTTTTCGCTAAATCGAGAACAGTTTTATCGTTACCATCCCTAATATTCCCATTAGCGCCATATTTAATCAACAGCCCCAATATTTCAACCCTTTTACGTTTAGGTGTTTTTAATATCATATGTAACGGAGTCTTTTTATTGCATTTAGACTGACTGTTTACATTAGCGCCATTTTCCAGCAAGCACTCTACACAATGGACTAGACCATTTTCCGTAGCTTCGTGTAACGGTGTTTCGTTGAAACGGTGTCTATGATTTACATCTGCTCCACGTGCTATCAACAGCTTAACAATGTTAACAATGTCGTCATTGTCGCAATAGGTTTTACATGCAATCGACAAGGGTGTCAAATTGTCATCGTCTTCTTCGATTGATACATCAGCACCGTGGTCTAACAGTTCTCGGGCGATAGCAAAATTCCCCCTTTTCACTGCGTAATGAAGTGGCGTTAAACCCTCCTTATCTTGAGTATTTATTACGTTATGAGCGCGATGGGTTTCACATTCAATCGGCGAGGGTGTTAAACTGTCACCATCTTCTTCGATTGATACATCAGCACCATGATCTAACAGTTCTCGGACGATTTCAATATTCCCCCTTTTCACTGCGTAATGAAGTGGCGTTAAACCCTCTTTATCTTGAATGTTTATTACGTTTGTATGGGACTGAGCGTCAAGGTCCAACAGGGTACCAACAGCAACAAGATTCTCTTCACGAACTGCGTAATGTAAAGGTGTTAAACCATTCATATCCCGACTGTTTATAAGATGTTTGTTTGTGCCATTTGCCAGTAGTTTCATCATTTTACCCACGTTTGATTTCAAAGAACATACGAGGTGAAAGACAGACCAACTGTTACCATCACAATTCATCCGGGCGTCTAAATTCACTAGAAGCTCCACCCTATCAATGTCCGCATCCCTATTTTCTAGAACGAGTTGTAGGGCTGTCTTCCTATTATTGTCAATATGATTCACATCAGCACCAATGTCTTTTAAATAAACCAATACACGCATATCATTATTATGCAAACTAGCCAGCTGAAAGGGCGTTTGTCCACTACTGTCCTTAGTGTTAATTAATGGCTTAACCCTCTGATACTCCTTAATGAAATGAAGTATATTAGCCACATCCCAATATTCACTGATATAATGCAGTATGTTCCTGTTATATTTACCCAATCCACCCACCTCACACCGATACTCTACCAATAAAGTCGTTTTAACTCGACTGTCGATTTTTGATTTTATTGCATTTACTATAGGTGCCCCTTCTTCAGAAGTGTCATGAAGCCGTGTTCTTGAAATGAATTTATGAATCAGTTTTAAACATTTGTAATCGCCCATATAACAAATACTAACGAACAAAGTGTCACTTAACTGAAGTTTAAGGTTACGTTCAACACATCCGAACAAAGATTCCATAAATGAGCCTTTATATAGACCGGAACACTCTAGCAGTTTGGCATTATTTCGAATTTCGGTGGGTAGACGCCGTGCAATATTTTGGATATCTTGTTGTACTACTAATAATTCGCCCTTTTTAGCAGGGCATTCAGTGGTGATTCTGTCCAGAATTAAATCAAGCGGACATCTAGCGATAATCTCCTTGTGGTTAAAGCCATCCCGTCTCCAGATCATACTTAAAACACAGTCTCTAACATCATTTTCTATAAATGAATAAGACGCACTGGCAACATCAAACGTTAAAAATGACCCAACAAGATGCTGACACGATGTTTCCATATCATGACTAGCGGTCAGGGATATAGATTGACGAACAATTGATTTGGTTACACTGTCCTCCCGGAGTTGTACGCTGGTCACATTTTCACCAAGCAATAGAATCATCAAAAGCGCAGAAAGTGATTCTGGATCGTCCGCAAGATTCTTTAATTCGCGATCCCAAAATTCATGTGACTTCTGAAATAATTTTAATCTATCTTCGGATTTTGACTTTTTAAAGACTTTAATTAAGTTACGACAGTTATAAAAAAGCACAGTTTTACTCAAATTATCCATCACTATTTGATCAGGGGGAATTTTTAATTTTTCGAGTATTTTGATCCCTTCCCCATCCGTTATTTTAAATTTGTCCTCATGTAAGAAAACCAACCGATCTTTGTCGAACAGATCGTAATTTAAGTTTGATTTACATTTGTTAAAGATGAGAGTTTTACACGTGAACACCACAAATACCTGTCCTCTTTTTAACATTTTATCCATGGCTTCTAAATTTCTGATCCACTCTTCAATTAGATCTTTCTTCAAGCTGTTAACACCGAACATATTCTTTATAATAACGATGTATTTATCCTCGTCACTGTTAGGTCTAACAATTTTAGGTACTAAATCCCAATCGGTCGGTTTATTCAGTAGAACTGGTTCCAGTTTCATCGAATCCGAGTTATTCCGCAAGCACTTGTTTACAATGTGACGTACTATTGTTGATTTCCCGCTACAAGTTGGACCTATGATACCAACACAACGATACTTTATTAAAGTTTTAAACGCCAATTTACAGCCCGCTGTTTCAACAAATCGTGCTTTGTCAACTTCATCTTCGTCAAATATTAATTTAGCGTTTGCTGAAATTAGGAAGAAAAGGAAAATGCAATTTAACAGGTAAGTGAATATACAGTCGTATGAACAGATAATGTGGGTTGGGAAATTCCCATAAATACCCACCAAATACAATCTTTTTTCTAAAATAGACATGTTGATTGTCAATCAGTTCCCGTGGTAAGCCGCTTAAATGGACAGAGCAACTAGGTTGATTGGACACGGTTTCCTGGCCAAAGAACGCGTTTTGTTTTTCAACTCAATCATTTGTTGCTAGGACGCATGGTTAAATATCATTGCTGTGGTATAATAACATTGTCCTCCAGATTTGCTCACTTGTTTAGGAGAGTCAAAAAATGCATAGCGGTCAAGAATCATGAGTCAAAATATCATATTTCTATTTTCAAAAGATGGGACTAACTGTAAAACAATTGTGGCTAGTCTCGATTTAATTATTCCGTTTTTTAAGTGAACAAGATGATTTTGTTAAGGCAATGCGATATCTTTGATCTGAATATTCATATTATTTTCTTCGATCTGAATATTCATATTATTTTCTTCTTTTGGAACGACTCATATCTGACATTTACAAACTATATCTATAAAAAAAACCCGAAGAAGTGAATTTCGTGAAATATGCCAGATATGACCTTTTTGACTTTCATTGAAAGTAGTATCAATGTCACAAAATACGTGGCATTTAGTGTATCTGATGAATACGATAACCGACAAATTTAATAATTTCTTAAATCAAGACATAACAATATTTTACGACCTCCAGTACCAATAACAGAGCGTTAATACTTTAAAGACTAAGATGTTGTTTAATAACCATTCAAACTTACCAATAAGAGTTTCAAGAGACAGTGACCTTTGTTTTGGCGGTAAACTTTTTCTCCCTGGATTAATTGTGGCGTGTTCAATAACAATGGCTGGACCCTCTGCAAATCAGATAAATAAAACCATCAACTTTATTTAGTTCTGTATCTTAGTAAAAATATCTCAAGATTTGAAAAGTGGCATTTGTTTTTAGTTTCCGGATTAATGGTCAATGAAATTCAATGATCATCTTCAGTTAGAGTTTCTAAAGTTTATATTAAAAATTTGACCCGAATGTTTCAAATTTCAATGTTATATGTTATTATAGAACTATTGAAACTTACCGGACACAGATCGCCCTATATTTGGTCGTTGTTTCACTTGCAATCCTAAAAGAAATAAAATTAATCAAATTAAATAGAGTTGTCGCCCTTCGTCATATATGAATAATATTAAATTTAAGCCATGGAGGAAGAAAGAGAAACGACGACACTTGACTCAACTCAATGACGACCTCATGACCTAATTTAGTCAGGTGCTAGATCGTGTTCATCCCCATACAATGACATTATTTCTGAAGAGCTCCCCCATACAATGACATTATTTCTGAAGAGCTCCCCATATAATGACATTATTTCTGAAGAGCTCCTCAAATGAGCGAAAGGGTACTTTAAAAAGGTTAACAAGTTATTATACCAGTGTTGGAATTAATCGGCATATATTTTATCTTTTCAGCGGTTACCGTCCAACAAATTAGTGCAGCATTACGGTTGTGCTAATACATGTCAGGATATGTTATGTTCTATACTTTGGCTGTCTGTCTGTCAAGGGCTGGCGGCTACACTAGGGTTGTATAGGGGTATAGACCAAGAGCGAGTAACGAAAAAAATGCCTCATATGTAATAGAAGGTTTGACTATATTAATTGGCAGCTATTGATAGGGCAAATTTTATCTGCCCCTCCCTGCCAAATGCCCAACTGAAACCTCGTAAGACTGGGTGTTTTGATTTTGCCCTATCAATAGCTGCCAATTAATATGGTCAAACCTTCTATTACTTATGAGTAGGACGTTAAACCCCATTTCATTTCATTTCATTTCTATTACTTATGGGGCAGTTTTTTCGTCACTGGGTCTTGGACTAGTAGGTCGGATCAGGGAGTAACATTGGCCTGGTGGCGATGGACTATCACCACTTCCGGAACCGGATTTATCCCGCCCTTTGTCGTATCGGGAGTCTTTCTAGTACATATATATAATTGTGTGTAGAAGGAAAGCACTTACCTGAATCCATTCTAGCGTTGATGTTTCACAAATTGAAACAAATCATCCTACTATAAAACAAATTGTAGAAATCAGTTAAAATCACTTGACACAAATTAACACATACTATAAAACAAAATGTAGAAATCAGTTTAAATCACTTGACACAAATTAACACATACTATAAAATAAAAGGTAGAAATCCCTTTAAATCAATTTTTTTTTATTAATCTCTAATCCTTCGAACTGACTTTTTTCAGTGGTATTGTGTATTACAGTGTTTTTTTTTTTGTTATTTTGTAGACTTTAGATTCCAGTAGCGGATCTACAAGCTGTGAATGTCAACAATAAAATCCTTAAACATACATTATGCAAGAGGTAAATCGGCCTATTGCAAGTCTTTATTTAGGTCTGAAATGTTATCTAAATTATTAATTAGACATTAATTAACTTATCCATAGACCATAATCAACTTTCGATGACATCGGATTTCTCCGATATTAAACAAATTAGAACAGTTTAACCATATTTTGATTTAAGCTAAAAAATGTAGGAGCGAAACTTAGCTTCGAACAACCTGTACGGTGGTTGAAGTTATTTAACACGTCTTGTCAAACCTTCAAAGGCTAATATCTTCGCTCGCAATAGAGTAATTATTCATTTTACATCATCTATTTTCGAACTATTATAGCAAGAATGGCTAGCTCTTTATCTAAATCTTACATAATGTATCTTTAAATTAACTGTGAACTCTCCGGGAAAACATTGATCCTATTTTCTATATATCTTGTTGTCGTTTCTTATCTTATCAGTTTTATTCAAGTTTACATAAAGTACATGTCATATTATGATTGTTATTGATTTTGTATTTTTTTTTGTTTTTTTTTTTTTGTTGTAAACCTTAATTGTTTCAATTGAATTTATGGTAACTGAGCTACTTTATTCACGGCTGTCAAGCCCATGCCCCTTTGTTTCTCCTTAACTACCAATAAATGTTACATGGTTACGCCGTTGGAATGTTTTCAATATATACGGGAGATTGACCAATTTCTAAAATATAGACAATAGACTATAACACAGTTATGGTGTTCCTTTTCGATTTTTAACTTTCATAATATTATGGTTTGCTAGGAATTGAAATCCTTCAGTTGTCGAGCATAGATAACAATAATGTCGTTAATTTCAAGCGGGTTGGGTGGCCGGATGGTTTAACGCGTGCGCTTTAGATCATAAGGTCTGTCATTGGAGGTCAGTGGCGTGATTTCGTTCCCAATTGTGTGCATGACAAGGGGTAGGGTTGCCTGTCTAACCTCGTGGGTTTTCTGCGGGTCCCCGAGTTTTCCCCCATAGCTAAAAACGAAATAATTGAAATGCATGTAAGATATATACGTTTGTCCAGAAATTACCTAGTTCGAGTTGCGTAGAAGTTAATACCTCTCTCTCTCTCTCTCTCTCTCTCTCTCTCTCGTTGAATGTACTTTAGGAATTTCCTTTTCAATAGTGTTTACTGTACTCGCTATACATGTACTTCTTTCTTTGTTAACTTAATACTAAATCACATAACTTTTATCAGTGCGTGTATATATATTCTGTATTTATATCTATAGTTAACGTACTATCACAATGGCAACTATCACAACTATTTACAGACTATTGAACTATCTATATATACAAAAAAACCAATAACCTATTTTGAGAGTATTGAACGGTAAACTATTTTATATTATATAAATTTAATAAGCTATTCGTGTTCATTCTTGGCTGTTTATATACAATTCTATAAAAACATCAAGGAAAGAACTATGTGCCAACTGTTTGACCTTAGTGTTTATAGAATAACGATAGAATACTTATCACTGTAACCTGGGCCCTTATTCACGAAAACTTAAACTAAGTTACAACCGAAATTTTAAGAAATACTGCAACTTCATTGGATATATGCAAATTGATTTTACTGGTCAGCCAATCGAATTGCAGTATTTCTTAAAATTTCGATTGTATCTTAGTTTAAGTTTTCGTGAATAAGGGCCCTGGGTATCATTTAATCTTGTGTATTTAGCACTAATGCTTTTACATTTATTGAATATCAAACCTTTGTTTAAAAATTCGTATACAATCACCAACAATCATCTAATTTGTACTTGTGTCCAGTTTAAAGCTGGCTGATCAATTTTGACAATGGGGTGTCCAATTTACAAGCGTCTAATTTCTCGATGATTTGGGGTGATTTTAAATGATTTTTATGAATCATTAAATAAAGATTTGTGCGCTAGATGCCCAAGATTAAATAATACCCAGGTTACAGTGATACATTGTCTAGTAATACCTCTACATGCATAATTATAAACTATAACAGTCCCCCTCCCCCTTACATCCACCATCCTTAAATTATACATAATGAACAATCCCTTTCTGATCAAAACGGACGTGATATGAACAGAAAAGGAACAGCTTATAAATCTGGCCTTTTATAGCAAGTGCACAAATGTATGGTACTGGCCTATCCTTTTTAAATTGTTGTATACATAATGCAAATACATTACATGGAATAAGTCAAAAAGAGGGAAACATTTCCTTAACAACGAGCGAAACGAAGCGAAAAATATTTTAGACTTTGTGCGCGTGAAACCATGAAACACGATCCGCTTTTCTACCTTCTACTTTTAGCTAATAGTGAAGTAACGGATATTATATATATCATGCTTTATGGGTTATCATTAGATCTCGTCATAACACGGTGACTATCATATTTCTCTATTCTCATCTCTTGTCACTTTCTCAATCATACAATGCAGCACATAGTTCTTATTTTATAAACATATCTTTATTTATTTTATATACATATCTATATTTATATCATATCTAGCCTATATTGGTGTCATGTTGTAACCTTTACTGGAAGAATAAATAAATAAATAGTGATATTGGCTTGAAAATTGGGTCAATACACCAACCTGGTTGTTCTTAAATTTATTTAATTAAAGCTTCCCATTTCCAGATCAATTGATCCTTTTTTATTTTTAAGTTAATGTCTAAGTCTAAATTTCAGTTGTTCGTATGTTTATCAGAATGAGAGACAAAAACGTAGTCCAGCCATGTTCCTATCCTAGACAGCCATGTTCCCATACACACAATTATTCTAACATATAAGTTGTTTTTCTGATATTTGAGCTATATGTAAGTTGAGCTGTAGATCGTGTAATGGTGTCATGTCGTGACGCAATGGTGATATATATATACACTATATATATATATATACAATAGTCTATCAGTGGCTGCAGTCAACCTGAACATAACCTCTCAGCAAAACCATGCGACTTAACTAAAAATTCGTGAGTTCATACTGGATTACAATTTAGAGAACAGGGGGGGGGGGGGGTAGCGTTTACTCGACATTTCGAGACTAATTTATGGTAGAGAGCGCGCAAGAGAGAGAGAGAGAGAGAGAGAGAGAAAGAGGGGTGGGAGTGGGAAGGGATAACATCGACTAGACACTTCGAGACTAATGTGCTAGAGAGCGTGCGAGAGAAAGACAGAGAGAGAGAGAGAGGGGGTAACATCAACTCGAAATTTCGGGACTAATCTATGGTGGAGAGAGCGCACCCACGAGAGAGAGAGAGAGAGAGAGAGAGAGAGAGAGAATTTTATTTCAAGAATTGGATTAATTTCCCCCACAGAGGACCCCGCGAAGACTGTGAGGTTTACATGGCGCCCTACCTGTCAAGTGTGAGCGTGGGATAGAAAACACACAACTTGTCTTATTGACAAAAATCATGATCTATAGCACAATCGTTAGACTACTAGAACCCCCCACCCCCATCCCCGCAAACGTTAGACAACTAGAAGCCCCCCCCCCCCGCCCTACCCGCAATCGTTAGATCACTAGATCAGCCAACCCTCAGTGACAGTCGAAATAACTAATAAAACGATAGAATCCTCAATCACATAATTACAAAAATTCCTATCTTAAAGTTTGTTTTTCTTGTTTCAGCAAGTTATGGTAATAGTTCATGATATACAGTGTCCATTGATTAACTAAACCCGTACAATGATTCCTGTTGCTATCCAATCGATCACTGGAGAGTGGAGCTAGAGCAATGACGTAATATTTCTGCTGGCCCTAAACCCCAAAAATATTGATTGATTTACTTGTACAGACAAAATCATTTCGTTTTTTTCGCTGGCAATAAAATTGTAAATTCTGGTATAATATATAAAGATAGCAGCAAAATAATTGAACACTTACACAAAAGACAAGTTACATCAAAGAAAGGAAAGGGGTGATATTCCTACGCATGCCTCCTTTGTTATGCCTTAAATGTGCAGAACGAAAAATTCGCATTACGGTAGAAAAACATCGGAACGTTCAACGATAAAATGCAAAGTGATATACTAATATACTGGTTACTTATTTGTGATAAACGCAAGATGTTGTCAATGATTTAGACACATTATAGGTATCATGGTATAACGATAATAATATTATAATCTTACACGCATGTTATGAATAATTCATGTTTATACAAATGCCCTTACCTGGTGGTTTGTAACCAGTGCATATCACAGTGAATCAACAATCATTGTGGAATACCCAGTTTCCTTCGATATATTTCTCTCCATAGCATGATACTTGGCAGCTCTTAACATTGCATCAACAGCCGCGCAAACTCCACGTCTGGTCTTTCCGCCATGTTGTTTTCTAGGAAGCTATAGAGTGTACGAAGAATTGACGTGACGTATTGAGCTAATGTTGAATGAATAGTGTCAGGTTAAAGTAACCTATCGCTATGTGTTGTATTGAAACTACTATACGGTGGTTGGTGTATAAATAGTAATTGAGAACTAATAGTGTCGTCCATGAATGAATAAACACGGCTTTAATCAATATTAATACATGACAACAATTGTTATAAATTAAGGCTATTTAATTAAGACTTATGGTTAAAAGAACATTTCGCAATAAAGCAAATATAAGGGAATAAAATGAAATGAGTTTTAAAATGCACCAATAGGGTTAATGGAATTGTTGAAAATTACAACACCGTGGGTAGGTGAGATTTTTCCATTCCGTGTAGATATTTTAAATGGAATCGATCATTTCGTTTCCTAAATCTGACAAAAAAAAAAACAAAAAAAAACCCACGGTGGACAAAAGTGGCAAAGTGTATACAGAGATGATAAAAATTTTCGATCCAGATTAAGGATTCTGATTGGACTTTGGTTTTGAAGTGGCTTCAGAAGATGATAAATCACCCGGTCATTAAAAAGAAAAATGAAACTTGCAGACATTGTTATTGTAAGGATCTAGAGCATACTTACAAGAACATCCGCACAGTAAGATAAAATGATCAATGCAACACACATAACATATAACAAATATTTCTTTCAAACTTTCTGATTTACAAACAATTTGACAATTGCCCCGAGATCAATATCATCCAAAAGCAATTGAACTCAACTATGTGTTCCTCGTGGCAGATAAAACATTAAATAAATCCTACTAGATGTATATATAGACACCGTCTTGAACACGATATATGTTGCATTCAATACTGCCCCCCCCCCCACACACACACCGTCTTGAACACGCTATATGTTGCATTCAATACTGCCCCCCCCCCCCACACACACACCGTCTTGAACACGCTATATGTTGCATTCAATACTGCCCCCCCCCCCCCACACACACACACCGTCTTGAACACGCTATATGTTGCATTCAATACTGCCCATTCCAAAAAACAGAGGACGCTTATCACGTCATACGCTCTTTGTCTAGTATTATTGGCATGTGTGTAACGGCACTGATGGCTGATGGGTGACTCGTGTGTCTTAATACTGGAAACAAGAGCACTTAACCAGTTCCGGATTAACCTGGGGTTGGGCCTGGGGCTTTTGACCTGTAGGGACCTATTCATATTTCACATTTCCAGATGCAGCCCTTCCCATGTTGATAAATGAACGCTTTAACCCCCATAGATCATTAAAGTTTTACTTGGCAGAAACCAACAAATTCCGGGAATAAGATTGCGGAATTTGGGATGATCATATTTTCACATGGAAAATTTAATTCCCATGTCGAAGTAAAAGCCTGACACTTGCAATGACGTATGTTTTCCCCGGGAGGATTGTGGTGATTTCGCCTGATCCGGTAGTCAGGTGGAAGCACGTGCTCCGCTCCAACTCGTTCGGAACTCCTCGAATCAAACTTACATTCACTGCATTTTACGCGACGGACATGAGCTATTTTCATTGGATTTGAATCCGATCTACTGTTAATCCGACTTTGTTAATTATCGTGACAGCGGTAACAATGACAATCGAGGCTACAATGATTTTAAAATAATGTTCCCTCGGCTTAGAGTAAAGCAATTTGACTGCAAGTTTCAACATATTCCCTTTACATCATCGATTTTTTTATCTATTATAGTGCGAACTGCCAGCTCTTTTATAAAATCTTCCATTATGTATCTTTAATATCACTGAAATGGTGGGTATGGCAGATATGAAACGGAGTAGAACCACATAACAAAATTACAAAATAGTATAATAATTTTTGGATATGGCAAATGATTAGGGCAGAGATTTATTCTTGAAGTCGATAGTTGTCTGTGTGCAGTATGTGATAGGACGTCAAAAATACAAAATGGCGACAATTACGACCCTGGCTCCTTCACTATAATCAACCAATGCTAACGTACAATTTAAATGGTACGAGCATTCTGCATTCATTGTCAAAACAAGTAAACAAAATTAAAAAATAAAACAGCATTACCTCACCCTTGTACTACAGATTGTAAACAGGGTAGTCGGTCTTGACCTTTGTGAAATCTTAATTATGAACGGAGCGTTGAACATGGCAAACTAATTACTATTTATCTGGATTATTTAATCTTAGTATTGTGTTTTTATCGAGGAACAGAACGAATCTCATTGACACAAGTCTGGTGATTCAACCCGGAATGAACTACTTTGATTTTATTAGGGATATCATGCATGATAATAAGTATGTCCTTCCTGTTTTAAATGTATTTCTAGTGTAGTATCTTTGACAATAATCATTACTATCTGATTATAATATTAGATTACAAATACAACTCCTCGAATTTCTCATCATTTCCTAGAATTATTATATTATTAGTTCAGGGTATAAAAACTGTGCCAAAAGATTATACCGTAACGTTAAAGGTGCGTCATGTAGTAAGAGCTAAATCTGCCTATTGTCGGTCATTATTTTGGCTTGAAATGTTAAAGGAGCTAAATCTATATTCGTTGGCACCTAGAAATGGACACTAATTTACATTCAATCGGTTCTGTTTTTACTGTAATTTTTAATCAGTGTTTAAAATTTCATTTTGTCTTAAATATTGGATTTAATGTTGTTTTAAATTGACCAGTAAGTCGTGTTAGCAATGTCAAAGACTGTGGATGATAAAGAGTTAAAAATATGACTCCTTTGAATAAACTATTATTTAGACTCTTATTCACATAACTAGTCTATGGCGGAGATATAAACGCATTGATACACTATAGCTAAATCTCGACTAACATTTACCGTTGTTACGATAATAAACAATATATGCTAGCTCCTGCCAAAACTTCAAGCGGTGATAACTACGCTCTGAATAAATAATGTAATTAAAAGTGTATTAATTTTTTATTATCTATTTTTTAACTATTATAACAAGAACGGTTAGTTCTTTATCTAAATCTTACATAATTCATTACAGAGGCAAGTGTTACTACCATCAACGATGACTTAAATCTTATCAACAGTTGATCTGAAACGTGACTAGTAACTTCTAACTCCCTAATAACAGAAACACTGACTATTACTACTCAACCCCACATAAACCACCATTATTTATAAACACCTAATAACAGAGACACTGACTATTACTACTGTAAACCACATCTATTTATAATCGAAGTACAAATCAAAGACTCATCTTTCAACATAATTAAAAATGAAATAATCATATAAACATGGAAGACCAACCAGCTCTTTATTCAGTGTTCTTAATTCTTAGTTCTTAATTCTTATTTCTTTATAAGGACTAAGAAAACTGAATAAAGAGTTGTTTGGACATATATAGATAGCATTGTGTATAGAGTATTAAAACTAGTAAATTACCTTGACTCTCTAAAATTATCGATTGAATAGAAGATCATTAAACACAATATAATATTGTTCATTGATAATAGGATGGGTGCAGTGATTACTTGGCTAACAATCTAGTAGAATCCCTAGAATTAGATAAACTACGCACTATCTGTGGGGGGGGTTTGAGATACTAACCATGCCTTTCTCTATAAAGAGACTGGTTTGTTCCAGTGTCGACGACATAAATTAAAATCAATGTATAAAATTAGTAACAATCTTGCGCCATCATTATCTGTGTGACCTATTAAAACCTTCCACTACTCCTCGTAATTATACAAAAATAAAATAAAAGGAAATTAAATACAGAATTGAAATGTTCTCCCAGTCGTTCATCCCTTCAAGTACAAGAGAATGGAGCAAACTTAACGTCAAAATTAGAAACTCTCCATTGCTTACTATTTTTGGAAATTCACTACAAAAGTTAGATACCATCGTACCCCCGTAATACACTGTAAACTAAGATTATCCTGCTCAATTGCTCAAATCTACATGGTCATACATTTTTCAGACATGTCGATGATAGCCCTGCTTGTCTTTGTGGTCCAAACTTCCAAGATTCTGAACATTATTAATTGTTCGTATGTCCCTTATATTTAAAGAAAGCGGACAGCCCATAACCTTTAACATAATCATAAAACAATCAGTTGTCGGTTGTATGGCTTAACATAACTTAGGCCTGAGATTAACACACTTATTTTCCAAGAAATTCAACAATTTATTCTTTTATCAAAAAGATTTAAATCTCCATGTATAGAAAGTGGTTAGATATTATACAGTAGTCATTAATTAGCAGGTGTGTAACGAACTGTAAAACATCACGTGATCTATTTGTGACAAATATTGTCATTTATAAAAGTTATTTGTTGCTAAGTGAACGATATCAACTTTACTGTGAAAGATATATATACATACCTAGCCGGTCGATGGCATACTTCTATATACTTGGATTTCACAAAGCCATTATCTACCCAGTATGCACACAGAGTTCCTTCTACTCCAAACTTCGCGAATAGATCTCTGTCCTAATTAGCCGCCATATCCCCAAATTAGTATACTGTTTTGTAATGCGGTTCTACTCCATTTCACATCTGTGCACAAAGACTAAATAAAAATTTTCAACTTTATTAAATGGAAGCAGAATAAACACTTAACAAAATTATCGATGTATATTTAATGTTTTCGGCTAAAATCGTCGATTTAAGATTTAAAATGTCGTTCAACTCTCTCAGTGTCTGTTCTGTTGACAGACAGCGTACGTTTAGTATATTATCTACACTGTAGAAGATAACCTCGTATATATTGACAAGGTATATTAAGTCTATGATAACATAATATCGAATTACCGGTATGTGTGGATTATGCATGCATTGATCAACCGGAGATACACGATTTTATACAAAGGAGGGAAGACGGGCGGGAATGAATCTAGAAAGGGCACAAAAAGTAGAGGGCTAGTGCGAGGTCAAAACATTTATGCCCCCCCCACCCTTCTTGGAGTATAAACCAGACGGGAGCTATTGTCATTCCCATTGATCAACCTTTATTACTTTATTAAATATAACGTGATTAATAAACCTTTATTAAATATAACGTGATTAATAAACCTTTATTAAATATAACGTGATTAATAAACCTTTATTAAATATAACGTGATTAATAAACCTTTATTAAATATAACGTGATTAATAAACCTTTATTAAATATAACGTGATTAATAAACCTTTATTAAATATAACGTGATTAATAAACCTTTATTAAATATAACCTGATTAATAAACCTTTATTAAATATAACCTGATTAATAAATCTTTATTAAATATAACCTGATTAATAAACCTTTATTAAATATAACCTGATTAATAAACCTTTATTAAATATAACCTGATTAATAATTTACGACGTGTGTATTTAAAGGGGTATATCATTTGATTTATCTCCTGGACAAGGAACACAATAAACAGAAATAATTGTATCTTGGAGAGAGAGAGAGAGAGAGAGAGAGAGAGAGAGGGAGAGAGAGAGAAGGGGTGGGGAGAGGAGGGGGGTACAATATGCTATTTCAAATCTTACGATAAATGCTGGACTGTGCAGCTGACGACATGAAGACTCATAAGTTTTAATCACGTGTTCTTTATCTTATCTGTTCAATTTATGGTTGTAGATATATTACTGTATAGTTTTAATAAACAAAAATTTATGGTTGTAGATATATTACTGTATGGTTTTAATAAACTATAATAAAAATTTATGGAAAACAGCTACTGATTTATTTGGGTGACGTTTCAAAGAGTATTCGCTCAGCGTTATCAAACTTTATTAATGTACCCAGCTAATACCACTAAAAGAATATAATATATTTTTTTAATTCAAGATCAAGATATTAATTCTCTCATCCTGTTAAAGACATGGGGGCTTAGCAGTGGGGGGGGGGGCTGGAGGGCAGGTGAACAGATGGACAGACGACCCTACTCCCTGTCACGTACAGGTTGTTGATCTAAAGTCAGCAATTTGATTCAATGACAGACCTTACCTACTAAAGTGTAAGTATTGCACCATTCGGTTACCTGCCCCCCCCACCCCCCTCACCCCTCCACTTCCCTCTTAACAGAATCTGTGAAAATTGGAGCATGGAGCATAGTATCTTCGAATAAAAACTTCGTACATTTTTTTTAATTTTGAAAGACCTACGGATAGTGGATGAAGAGAGGGCGCCATTGCTCATGGTTCGCCCTCGTTGACAGTACATGCTGGTTTATATAATGTATATATTGGTATCTACGCCTATCATGGTCCGCCCTCGTTGACAGTACATGATGGTTTATATAATGTCTCCACTGGTATCTACGCCTATCATGGTCCACCCTCGTTGACAGTACATGATGGTTTATATAATGTTTATATTGGTATCTACGCCTATCATGGTCCGCCCTCGTTGATAGTACATATGTTCGATGGTTTATTTAATGTCTATATTGGTATCTATGCCTATCATGTGAGTGAAATTGATATGATGATGATTCGCCATAATTTATAATTTATCTTATTTATTACTACCTTGTGTCTCGTTGTTGTTATCATCTCTAGTCTCTTGGTGTTTTCCTTGTTTTTTGTTACTTTATAGAAACAGTAAGTATATGTTTTGTGGGGTTTTTTTAAAAGTATTATTATAATCAAACTTTATTTACTAATTAGTCCAGCAATAAAATCTAAAATATTTAACTAAGTCGTAATAATGGAAAGGGTTATAGACATTGATATGTGTCAATAGATTGAATTAAGGTCATTGATACATGTATTGACTCCGTGATGGATTGTCTGTAATATTCTAAAAGATTTAATCATATTGATTTTCTTACCTCCTGTTGCATTTAATCTCCGCCTATTTATTTACCACCATTTAAAATAATCCACAGTAGTATCAATAAATCCGATAAAAATTTATATATTTGTTGGTTTTCCGCCTTGTAAATCAAGTCGTCAACGCGATACATGAATAAATCTCTGTTGCGTTATGAATTTGTTTATTTGTCATGTGAACGTTACAACTTAACCACGTTATGGCCGCTCATCGTCATTTCCTTTCTTCTGACAATATCCAATTATTGCGGCTTAATCTATTCTAACATGTACTCAAAATGATTATTTAAAATTAAATTTCATTAAGAAAATATAATCGCATGGCTTGGATTCAATCAGATTGAAAATATTTTACAAATCATCTTTTGTAAATACTGAACGGAATAGAACATGTTGAGGGTTTGTATACCTCTCTAGCCTGATAAACTCTTAATCTGTGCATTATGAGGGTCTGTATACCCCCTCTAGACTGTTAAACTCTTCATCTGTGCATTATGAGGGTTTGTATACCCCTCTAGCCTGTTAAACTCTTCATCTGTGAGCTTTATAATGTGGGAGTAGCCACGGTTGCTCAGTGAGTAAGACGTGGCCTCGCTAGCCAAAGGTCGCGTGTTCGATCCCTGCATTGGTCGAGAAGTTCATCGGGATTTTTCGGTATGGTTCCCGCTTGTCAGTGGTGCAGAACAGAGGGACTGGCAAGGGACACCGTATAGTCGTTCGGATGGGACGAACAGCCGATGTCCCGTGTAAAAATTGGCTTGTAGGTAAAAGATCCCTTGGCATTTGGAAGTCGATATATGAGTAAGTCGTAGTGCCGAGTCTGAGCAGAATATTAGGACGTTAAACCCCATTTCATTTTCATTTATAATGTGGGCGTGTGAATAATTGGCTAACTAAAAATATGTTAGACAGACACTACTTGAGGAGTCGACAGTAGCCTAAATGCAACTTTCAACTCGCTATCTCCATTATCTTTATATTGGTAATTACATACTATTAAACCAGGTTGTAGTAATAAACACATATTATTTATTCAAATAACTTTTAATCTCTAATTCTAAATTTGTTATATTATAGAAGAAAGGGGATAGACTAGTTAAATGGTGATCAGGAAACGCGACAGATTTAAACTACAATAAAGGGAGACAATCCCACTTTTGTTGCGATTTTACATCAACTAGTATAAATTATTACATAATGATCAAATAAATAGAAGGTTCACCACGCGGGCTAGCGACCACGGGTATTATAAGACCTTTAACTGAAATGGGGTTTAAAGTCCTACTTATCTGCTATTAAGCTTTGTATGAATTAAATTTTATTTAAACCGAAACGACATAATAAATTCTTAAACGAGACAGAAAACCACACTCGTGTACATAATGTAATTGCGAGTTATGACGCCCAAGGTTGTTATGCAGATGTATTTAAAAAGACATAATATACACAATTTAAACATATAATCAAATACAAATTCCTGTCGTTATTTCTCAACTAACATATTTCAATAATTGAGGGGGGGGGGTGGATGGCCGAATGGTTAGCACGCGCGCGCTGTATCACGAGGCCTGTCATTGAGTTAACTAGCGTGGTTTCGAATCCCCGATTGTACGTGACAAGGAGTAGGGTTGCCTGTCCAACCTCGTGGGTTTTCTCCGGGTCCTCTGGTTTCCTCCCACTGCTAACGACCCCTACCCACAAGCGAATTATTGAAATAAAATTAAACCAAATGTTAGTCTCGAAATGACCTAGTCTGTGTCGAGTGGACGTTAAACCCCATCTCTCTCTCTCTCTCTCTCTCAATGATTGAGGTTGTGCCCATGGATCGTTTTACAGGTGGGATATTGTTTATATTTTAATGAAGTAGAATAGTTGTAATAACAAAAATCCTATATTACATTTGCTCACATCTACACAATAACTCACCACTACTATGGTGTAAAAGTCAAATCGACACGGATGTTCATAACAAAAATACCATACACACTGTATAAACGTAAACAGTATTAACACTGAATTGATCACGTGATGCAATCGATCATGTGACAAGTGTATTTTTGTTCCTGGATTAAGCGTTATAGGGTATTTACACGGTCGGTTTGACTTGATTCACTCAATGTATGTTAAATACATGTAGTAGTCATGACATACCTTATAATGTAGATTTAAGTTGATATTATTATTTTAATAGTCTCTTGTGCGATATGATCGTGTGTGACAGCGGATGTTAAGTCAGTCGATCGGTATTAATTGTCATATATATATATTAAACAATACACGTGTCGATTTTTATATATAACGATGTAAACATATGGTAGATATGACATGGTGTTTATACTAGGGTGTATATAAAACAAGGTACGTGGACTCTTTAATATATTGTACAAGGTACGTGGACTCTTTAATATAAATATATTGTACAAGGTACGTCGATTCTTTAATATAAATATTTATCTCAGATTTAAGAATATAGTCGACACGGACCAATGGTTTTAACAGCGAGTGAACCAAACTATTAAAGTTGTTGTCTATTTTAAGCCCCATCTGCGATATTTATCATTGACAGAGAAATGTAACAAAATAAATATTCTCTATTACTTGGCGTATTATTTTTTAATCCATTCAGTTTAATAGGGAAATTGAAATTATTTATTTGGGGTCCCGCCGTGTTGTATTGACATATTAACCTATATATAGGTATGTTTATAATTTGATAGATTAACAAGTCACGTGATATTTAAACAGGTGACTTCAAGTTAATATCTGTCTTTACTACATAGGTAGGGGAGTTGGCTGGTACAAGGTGTAGGGTAGCCTGTCCAACCTCGTGTTGGTAGTCTCTCTCTCTCTCTCTCTCTCTCTCTGTCTCTCTCCTTTACTAATTAAAATTTCAATTAAACACGTCTAAGAATTACGAAACAAAATATGTATTATTTTTTAAAAACAAATTGTTATATTATTATTTAGTGAAACACGTCTTGGAATTACAAATATAATACGTATTATTGTACAATAAATAAACTTTGTTATATTATTATTTGATGAAACACGTCCGAGAATAAAACACAATCTTTATGAATAATATGCTGGTAAATAGTGTCTTGCTTGTACTATAAGATATTACTTTATAATCCTATTGACCGTGTAAAATAATATAAACTAATGTAGACTCTCAATTAATGATCTGCAGCTAGAATTTGCCCAGTGTTAAACTATGAATTGGATTAACAGTTTTTAAGTCTGTCATTAATTTAGTAAGATAAAGAAATCTTTTACATTTGATTTAACGACATTTCGGAAGTCGTCAACGATAAAATATATAAATTTGTATCTCCCTGTTTTTTTATACTTGATAACGACTTGTGAACTATTGTAGAACGGTCGTAAGGTACAGTAATTATGATCGATTAATAATAGTGTTTTAATTTAGTTTGTTTTATGATGCGTTGTATATAATCATATTTATATACCATACAGTTCCATGCTAGCACGCTCAAATGTGCTCACTGGTTAATGTGGACCGTTGCCGACTGATCATGGCACGTATTTGAATCCCCTGTTTAGATATTTTAATAAGCAAAATATAACACAATACAATATGCATAATATAACACAACATCCATAATATTCCAGAATATAAAACAATATGTAAAATATTCCAGACTGTTTACCTGTTATAATTATGTTCAATTTTTCTGTTATATAATACACACGGTTGCTTGGTTCTTTCATGGTAATATTTAACATAATGTGAGAGAGAGAGAAATGGGGTTTAACGTCCACTCGACACAAACTAGGTCATTTCGGGACTAACATATGGTTTAATTTTATTTCAATAATTCGCTTGCGCGTAGGGGGAGGAAACCGGAGAACCCGGAGAAAACCCACGAGGTTGGACAGGCGACCCTACTCCTTGTCACGTACAACCGGGGACTCGAAACAACACCAGTTGACTCAATGACAGGTCTTATGATACAGCACGCACGTGCTAACCATTCGACCATCCACCCCACCCCCCTTAACATAATGTAATATCCAGTACGTAGTGAAGACATATATTATTATTGTTTTATTTGACTTTTATTGAACACTTTGTGTGTGAGAGAGAGACCTTTTGATGTAATGTGTTAAACCATTGGACTCATATAACACACGAGGAAACATTCAAACATAGATATAACTATAAACACAAATAGTTTTAGTACCATAAAACACAAACATCACTTCACTGGAGAGTAATAAAATACTACTAAACATTCAAATATCAGGAAGTTAAAGGGCCAATCCCGATAATATGTTAGAGAATAAATTAATTTTGTGTTAAAATCCCTTAAAATCCCCTACCTTAGTGCCGAGCAACTAATTCAATATACGTGATACGTTTTCAAACAACTTAAACCCGCCGGTCTTCATTTGGAAATGGAGACCGGTGTCCCAAGCCGTATTATGCGATGTCTGGACAAAACCAGACTGTTATTTTATGAAATAATGTGTAGGTGAAATTTACCTTTCGTTATCAAGTACAGCACACGGGCCATTCACTGTATAGACCTCTAAAGAAACGGGAAATCTTAAAAGAGTTACGTGTCCGGATAAGCCTTTTAGACGTTCACGTCCAAACGACTCAATATTTTGAGCTGACATTTTGAGACACCATTCCTCTCTATTTCGGCGCTTAAATTTCATACGTACTCGGACTTTATTTTTGAGACTCTGTTCAAATGGGGATAGTCCCTTTAATCTACTTGAATAAAGGAATAAAGATAAAGCCCCAGCGTTGTTGACTACTTTCACTAATAAAATACCGCAGAAACTTTTACAATAGTTTTATTGTTAACACATCTATGTAATGATGTTACGCTCAGAGAATATGTTGTTACAGTCCTATAATGACAGTGGTCTACAAAACATCCACGAGTAACGGTTTCCCACGTGATGATTATCCAAACCCACCATCTACTAAATGTACTACACATTTTTAGTTAATTGTTCAGTATTTAGTATGAACAGTATTTAGTAGATTTACTCTGACAAAAACCCTTGATACCACGTTCCATTTGACGAATTCACATCGCTAACTCTTGTATTGATGCATTCACCTGTTGTACTTTAAAAGCGTCAAGTCGCTAACTCATTACCATCCACAGAGTCTTCGACATTACAAACACAAACTATTGGTCAATTTAAATCAACATTGATGTTGTGTTATCTTACCGTGAAAAGATGGGCTTCTGATATCTTATATTTAAGACAAAATGATAATCTTGACTTTGGCACTCGAATCTCGTGCCAGAATGCTTTCGAGCGCCATTTGTAATGAAGCAACTCGATGAACGACAGTAACCATACCCCACAATAGAATAATACAGGGGTAGACTGGAATAACCAGAAGACAAAGACTACCATTCAATTTGGACTCTTCGCGTAATTCGCAGAACATTACTGATTTGAAAGTAAAAACAGAAACTATTGAATCTAAATAAGTTTATATTCATTCATATTACATTATTACATGCGCTGCGACCCATTTGTGTCAATTTCTGGTATTTCTGGTAATTTTTCTGGTATTGTTACAGATATTTGAGAATGAGCGGGCCGAGTGGTGGTCAATCTCAGAATGGGATGATGCGTTTTTTGCGCATGTTGATACGAACTAAGAAGATACCTGATGAAGAGGGGTTGAAAGAAACCAGTTTGGCTCGAGTTCTTGGAGCTTTTGATCTTACAGCTTTAGGTAATATTTTTCATTTCATTCTTCCGATTTCCAAATTCCAACCGGAAGCTTTCATGGGAATTATCTGGGGTCACATGATCCCAATCTGACAACTACTTGTGGGATCATAAGAAGCTAAACTGTCCCCAGTCGGGACAGAATAAGAACAGTACGACGTTAAACCCCATTTCATTTTATTGCATCTGAGATCACATGACGCTAACATGAGAGTGGACATTAAACACCATTTTCTCTCATTCTCCGTGACATGGTGAGTCAATCTGTTTCACAGAGATCTTCTAATATCTCTGTAACAGATGATTGTTTCGACACGTGACGTCACATCACGTGGCGTCAATCATTGGCTCAATAGCGCGTGCATTTCTTACATATAAGACGTTACTGATTCGGGCTAAATGGTGAATTTTACTTATTTTAATACCCATTTACATTAAATAGGAAATGATTTTTACCTACAAATAATTTAAACGTCTTTATTTATTTTTTTAATAAATGAAAAAAAAATGTTTTAGAATTTAATTTGACGAAAGAAAAATGTTAATATTTGGGACTCATTAAGTCGCATCGATGTCATCCTTATCAGTGATTGTAGCGGCCTAGCGAAAATTCACTGCAGATCAGTGTGATGGTGAGTAAGCTGACCGCGAAAGATTCCCTATGACGTATGTCCGTCTGCAAACAAATAGGTCGATAAAGCATGTTTCGTTTCATATTATTTTAGCCATTTTTCATATTGTTATATATTTTAAGGTGTGGGCAGTATATTATATATTGTTATATTTTAAGGTGTGGGCAGTACACTGGGAGCTGGTATATATGTTGTAGCAGGTCAAGTAGCAAGACAAACAGCTGGACCATCAGTATTCGTCTCATTTCTTGTCGCTGCCTTGGCTTCAGTTTTAGCAGGTGAGATATTTAATGGGCTTCGCAAAATAGAATTTTTATGTGGGTGTGAAAGATTACTCCTGTCGGCCTTTATATAATGAATTAGTTGTATACGTCCTCGCTCAATTATACCAAACTCCTTGCTTCTAAATACATACATTTATTCCTGAAAAAAACTTATTAATCCGAGCGTAGGCAGTAAGTAACATTTAATTTTAATCCTGCTTCGAATGAACTTTATCCGTTCGTCCCGGTTTTGTGTCAGGATCTCATAGACGTTCAATAATCGTTACGAAACTGTACACATATAAATAATCCTATTAAATATAGTTGTTATGTTTTATTATTTTGGGGATTTATTGGTCTACATGTATGCTATATTATATACTATTCAAAAAAAGTAGGGGATATTTGATTTTGGGGGCATAATACTAAAATATGCAAATGACTACGAAAAAAGTCACTATAGAACCTAACAGAAGAAACATTTCCAGTTACATGTGACGCCCAAACGCACCAATAGCTACCGCATGGAATGCAGGTGATGCTTGGGATCATCATGGGGGTCCAACCCAAGATTTGCACGACTCTGACTTTGAATGTTACAGTCATTGTGGCATTGAATTCCAGGGTGGAAACATCAGTTTAATTGTTTTAGTGACCAGAAAACAAATTTTGATATGCGTCGGCTTACCCAAAATGAAAGGTTACGTGCCCTTGGCATGCTACAGATCGGCACAACACAGGCGGTTGTGGCGCGGACGATGAATGTTTCTCAGTCTGTCATAAGCAGGCTATGGTCCAGATACCGTGATACACAATCTGTACAGGACAGACCACGCTCAGGTCGACCAAGGGCGACAACTCAAGCCCAGGATCGATTTATCCGTACCTTGGCCTTGAGAAATCGTGTCATAACAGCAAATCAGATCAGCGCTCGTCTTCAAACAGACACTGGTGTGAGAGTGAGTGGCCAGACGATTCGGAATCGACTGCATAGGGGTCACCTTCGCGCCCGACGTCCTTGCGTGATCCCTTGTTTGAGAGATCATCACATTCAGGCAAGACGTCGTTGGTGTAGGGATCGTCAACACTGGGATAATCGACGCTGGAGCAATGTGATGTTTTCAGATGAGTCAAGGTTCACTGTTGATTTTTTGGACAGACGTAGGAGGGAGTGGCGTCGTCGAAACGAGCGCTTCCAAGACGTTAACGTCATCAGACATGATCGATTTGGGGGTGGTTCTGTTATGGTGTGGGGAGGCATCACTGTTGCTGGAAGAACGGCTTTACATGTTGTTGCAGGGCGTGTTACAGGCCAGTACTACCGGGACAACATCTTGGCAGTCCATGTTGTGCCGTTCGCACGACGTCATGGCCGCCGTTTGATCTTCCAGGATGACAACGCAAGATGTCACAGGGCCAGGATCGTTACAGGTTACCTCCAACAACAGAACATCACCACATTACCTTGACCAGCACTGAGTCCCGACCTCTCCCCCATCGAGCATGTCTGGGACATGCTTGGACAGAGGTTACGTCAACGTCAACAACGTCCTGCCAATGTCCAAGAACTTGCTGCTGCGTTGCAACAGGAATGGGACAATCTGGACCAAAATGACCTTAGACGTCTCATTAGGAGTATGCCACGTCGGATCAATGCTTGTTTGGCAAACAGAGGAGGATTTACCCGTTACTGACTTGGTTGTGATGCTGTGGTAACTTTGCTGTTTGACCCCGGGTATCATTTTACCCTTATAATGGTCAGTCTGTGCCTTGCTTAGTCTAACGATCATTTGGAATAAATCGATGAATGTGAACTTCATTTCATTTTGTCATTTGTTTCTTCGTCAGTTTCATTAGGTGACTTTAATAACACTTAAAAATCAAATATCCCCTACTTTTTTTGAATAGTATATGTTATGTTGTTTACAGATGTATGCTATGTTGTTTACAGATGTATGTAATGTTGTTTACATATGTATGCTATGTTGTTTACAAATGTATGTTATGTTGTTTACATATGTATGTTATGTTGTTTACAGGTGTATACCATGTTGTTTACAGATGTATGTTATGTTGTTTACAGATGTATGTTATGTTGTTTACAGGTGTATGTAATGTTGTTTACAGATGTATGTTATGTTGTTTACAGGTCTATGTTATGCCGAATTCGCTGCTCGAGTACCCAAAGCTGGTTCAGCCTACGTCTACAGTTACGTGACAGTAGGAGAATTGATGGCGTTTATTATTGGATGGAATATGATATTAGAGTATGCTATTGGTAAGTCACAAGAGATTTCCAACCTTTACCGACAAGTGCCTCCTCCCGAACAGTGGCTTGGATATTATTAGGTATGGTAGCGGGCAATCTGGTTAAAACACAGATCCTATTTCCTTTCGTTTTTATAGTTCAAAATTTCGTTTTACTTCTCTTTACTACACTTGGATCTGGAAGAGTTGTTATTTAACTCGTGTTCCGAATGGTGTCAGGGATAAGCCAATGAAACGGTCTGTTACGGCGAGCTTTAGGCGTGTTTTGCACGGAAGCGTGGGTAATCCACTAGTAACATCAATGCTGATTGGTTAATCAAATGTCTGACGTCAAGGGGTCATAAATCGGTCTTTTGACCCCTGACGTGACCTATGGCTATAACTTGCCAGATCTTCATGTAGTGTAGGCCATCGAAAGTATAAAAACACGAAACGAAATATAGATCTGTATTTTAATCAAATTGGGTAGCGGGTGCTTAGAATAAAATAAATTAAGGTCCAACCGTGCTAATGTATACAGCATATACCACGCAGTGTTCTATGATATCGAATAAATTAGAAGATATGGTTTTTATTAAATGGATATAACTCATGATGATTATGTCTGAAACTCACATACTCATGTCAGCCCTTCACTCAACAGACATCCTCTTCTTGTATAAATTAGAAGATATGGTTTTTATTAAATGGATATAACTCATGATGATTATGTCTGAAACTTCTAGAGATGAAATTGTTTTTTGTGTGTTAAACAATCTAACTTCGTTGTACCAAGTTCTTTATGTATTTGCCTATTTTATATTACAGGGACTGCCAGTGTTGCACGAGCGTGGAGTTCTTATTTTGATTCTCTAGTTGACAATAAAATTCAGAATTTCTTTAAAGACAATATGCCGATGGATTTAACCGGTCTGTCAACATATCCCGATTTTTTCTCGTTTGGAATAACTCTGTTATTAACGGCTCTATTAGCGTTTGGTGTTCGTGAATCAGCCAAATTTAATAATGTTTTTACTGCCGTGAATCTACTGGTTGTGTTGTATGTAGTTATCTGTGGGTTATTTAAAGTTGATTCCAAAAACTGGAATTTAGACCCAGCTGATGTAAGTTAAATATTCATTATACCAGAGCTATATCTGCCTATTGCAGGTTTAACTTTACGCCTTAAATGTTATATAAACTATTAATTAGACATTTATTCACATGGAATGACCTTAATCAACAAACGATGCCATCGTTAGCCTGCAATATTTAGTGGATTTGAATACGTTTTGTTGTGTATGGAATAACCGTAAAATGATTAACAGATACTTTGTTTATTAGCATACCAACGGTAGTAATGACGTTCGAGGCTAGTCTAAAATTGAATTGCTAATATCTAGGTTCAGAGTCAAGCTATTTGACTGAAACTTTCAGCATATTCTGTTTTCATTATTTATATTTTAACTATTATAGCAGGAACTGACAGCTCTTTATCTAATCTTACCTACTGCCATTTTAAGGTCTTGTTATTGTTTCGTATAACTCAATATTTAATTAATAATTAAGTAATTACCAGTCTTGATCTATTTGAACCATTTGATTCGGTTTGGATTGAATCTTGATTTATTTAGCCGCTCACTAACGACTATATAATAATAGGCCTAATATTTATTGTACGTCTTAAGAAGCATTATGTAAGAGCTATATCTGCTTATTGTAGGTCTCTATTCTGTCTAATATCTATTGCAGATCTTAAGAGCTAAATCTGCCTATTGCAGGTCTATATTTTGTATTCAAATATTATATAAACTATGATTTAGACATTAATTCACATGACAAGTCAATAATCAAATGGCCGAGATATAAACAGATTAAAACACAAATGTCGATATATTCATTATCTATTTTTGAACTATTCGAGCAAAAACGGGCATGTGTGTATCTAAATATTACACAATATAACTTTAACTGACTAATATTACTTTACTTTCTGCATTAGATGCCACCCGGTGTTGATGGCGGAAATGGTGGATTTTTGCCCTTTGGTTTTTCTGGGATGATGTCTGGTGCTGCCACGTGTTTTTATGCCTTTGTTGGTTTTGATTGTGTTGCTACAACAGGTACGTTTTTTTCAACAATCTTTTCAAAGAATGAATATTTCGATATATCCAAATGATCCTAGTGTTGCTTGCTTGTAACGATGGGGATTGGGTAGTCGAGTGTCTAAAGCATGCGCTTTGGTCACAAGGTATATCAAGTGTTTTGGTTTTGTTCCCCAACTTATATGCGGTGAGGAATAGTGTCGCCTGTCTAACCCCGTACTGTTTCTACAGATCGCATGGTTGTTCCTATTGCTAACATTGCTAACTGTATCGATCTAGTTTGTGTGGAGTGAACTTTAACCGTGAATGACTAAATATAACCCGTGTCGTGACAGGATTAACCACCGACAGTTGTTTTATATTACTATTAGTTATTAGTAGTGACGCTAAACACAACACAACTCTATCGGAATATATGTTGTTTAATGAATGAAAGGCAGCCCCAGTAGCTCAATGAGTAAGACATTGGCGCGCTAACCCGGTCTTGGCCGAGAAAATTCGTCTGGTGCAGTGCCTGAGGTTTTTCAAGCGACAGCGTAGTCCTATAGTCGTTCGGATGGGACGAAAGACGCGTACGCATTGGCAGACCATAGCGCCGCTGCCCCGACAACATTTCCCTCATAGCACACCGTATGACGTATGTCCATCTTCATTAACCCAGTTAGACCAGAAAAGTTGGACGTTAAACCCCATTTCATTTCAATACATCATAATTGAATGTTTCCAGTTGACATCGTTATACCAAATTTGTTTGGAACTTATAAGTAAGGTAAAATGATAAAAAAAATGTTGAATGGACGTTTTGTTTCGAAGCTGTCGGAGATGTTTAAGTTAACGTGAGAGTTGGGATTGGTGGATGTTGGTTGGTGCATTGTGACATTATTTGGTGATTTACTGACAACGGTGAAGGGTTTTCGTGTTAGATTGACGGCATCATAACCTAATGGAAACGTTCTTCTTGTACTGTATATTAATGACTCAACCATATATCGTTCTTCTTGTACTGTATATTAATGACTCAACCATATATCGTTCTTCATGTACTGTATATTAATGACTCAACCATATATCGTTCTTCATGTACTGTATATTAATGACTCAACCATATATCGTTCTTCATGTACTGTATATTAATGACTCAACCATATATCGTTCTTCATGTACTGTATATTAATGACTCAACCATATATCGTTCTTCATGTACTGTATATTAATGACTCAACCATATATCGTTCTTCATGTACTGTATATTCATGACTCAACCATATATCGTTCTTCATGTACTGTATATTAATGACTCAACCATATATCGTTCTTCATGTACTGTATATTAATGACTCAACCATATATCGTTCTTCTTGTACTGTATATTAATGACTCAACCATATATCGTTCTCCTTGTACTGTATATTAATGACTCAACCATATATCGTTCTTCATGTTTTGTTTTAGGTGAGGAAGCGAAGAATCCACAGAGGAATATACCATTAGCTATTATAGTATCATTGATTATAATATCATTGGCTTATTGTTCTCTATCAGCTGTATTAACCCTGATGTGTCCATACTATCTACTAGATCCTAATGCTCCACTACCATTTGTATTTGATAGAGAGGGTTGGGGAGTGGCTAAATACATCATATCTGTGGGTGCTCTATGTGGCCTTTCGACCAGGTACGTAGGTTGTATTGTGCACATTTTCAAACAGAGGATAATACTGACCTAGGAAGTTCATTGGGATCTCAACCAACCATGACAGCTGAACCAGATTCGGTGTGTTTAATTACGTCACAATTCTACCCACTCCATCTCAGTTGTCGGCACTGACAGAACTGTGACAGGACTGAATTCCGCGTCACACGATTGCAATTCTGTCCATTCGGAACGTTCCGGCCTCACAACCGAGCATCCCCGATGTACAATGCATGGCGTATACCCGAGTAGTAAAATAGGGCACTTGGAGGGGGTACTTCCGGTAGGGTTATCTTCACCTGTTTTGTTTACCTTAGCAACGTCAGAAGAGTTATCCCCCTTTTATTATGGGCGTGGTTGTTGACCCTAGTTACGATAGAATCACGTGACAACGACGTAATATAAACACCATGTCCGTTTAAATTTGAATTGTTGGGTGTGTGTGTGTTTGTAATGTTGTCCGCCTTTTTTTAAAGGGGTGGGTGTTAACGGTTAATTGTAGTGCCGATGGAAACCCGTGGCAACTAGGTAATATGAAGTTGTGAGTTTAAATTTGAATTGTGGATAGGGGGGGGGGGGGGGTCACCGTAATGAGCGTGCGTAGTTCACCTCGAACCCGCGCACCGTCCGCCCAGCCCAGCCCGCCCGCGCGCCGCGAACGCTCTGGTCATCGTTTTCGTCAATGTATTATTGGTGGTGTGAAACAAAATGTTTTATTTGTACCGCGCATGGGCCCCGCCTCGCCACGCCCCAACGTCTTTTTCGCCGTCGCTTCAACCCAAAGACCAAAACATGTCCTAAAAGACATTCCCGTCAATTGTATAGTTAATTGTATTTGTTAATTGTATTTGTTAATTGTATTTGTTAATTGTATTTGTTCATTGTATTTGTTCATTGTATTTGTTCATTGTATTTGTTCATTTAGTCTTGTTATTTCCTCATTTAGTTGATTATTTATAATCTAATTATTCATAATCTAATTACTTTTTTTTTTCATGAATTCTTTTTCATGAATTCTTTTTCATGATTTCTTTTTCATGAATTCTTTTTCATGAATTCTTTTTCATGAATTCTTTTTCATGAATTATTCATAATTCAATTATTTTTTTCATTATTTTGTTTTATTAATTAATTTCTTTTCATTAATTTTTTTTTTCATTAATTCTTTTTTTTTCATTTATTCTTTTTTTTTTCATTAATTTTTTTTTTCATTAATTCATTTTTTTTTTTTTTAAATTTATTGTTATTTATTTAAATTTGGTGAAATTATTTACTGGTCTGGCGGTAGTTCTCAATTTGATCTTTTGAATTTCACGACCAAAATTTGGTTTTAAATAAGAGAAATGAAACGAGTTTTAACGTCCATACTGACTAATAGGGACTAGATTAATATTTTGGAACTTGAATATTCTCAGATGTCACCAATCAAATAATTGTAGTCATTTGTAGTATTAAGTAATATATTAATTAGTATATTAATTGTTTATATTAATTGAAGTTAATCAAACTCGTGTACTTGTTTTAAAAAATACAAATTGTGCATCGTTAAGGTATGAGAAATGTTTTAAAATGATAATTGTAGTCATTATCGCATTAATTAATATGTTAATTAGTATATTAATTGTTTTATATTAATTTAGGTTAGTCTAACCCTAACGTACTTAAATGTTTTTATTTTAGCATTTGATAAAATATTTAAGAAAAATAAAAGTGGTTAGTTCTTTAAAAACCAGGTTAATAATATTAATATTACATTATGTATTTAACAGATGTTTTTCGGGGTAGTAGGTGAACTTTTGACCGATTTTCTAAAAAAATGCCATGAACCTTTTTAAATAAACCAATAACCTATATTCCCTCTATGCCAGTTTTTTGGGGGTTTTTTTTGCCGAGTTGTTAAAAAAACTACAAGCTGTATGCTGTTAACGCGTAAGAAAATGGCATTAAAAAAACAAAAATGACCGGATAATTGTAGTAATTAACGTATTAATTAATGTACGAATTAGTATATTAATTGTTTTATATTAATCGAGGTTAATTAAATTATTAAGTAATATGTTAATTAGTATATTAATTGTTTATATTAATTGCAGTTTATTAAACTCTTGTACTTGTTTAAATAAATACAAGCTGTACATCGTTAAGGTATGAGAAATGTTTTAAAATGACAATTGTAGTCATTATCGTATTAATTAATATGTTAATTAGTATATTAATTGTTTTATATTAATTTAGGTTAGTCTAACCCTAACTTACTTAAATGTTTTTATTTTAGCATTTGAAATATATTTAAGAAAAATAAAAGTGGTTAGTTCTTTAAAAACCAGGTTAATAATATTAATATTACATTATGTATTTAACAGATGTTTTTCGGGGTAGTAGGTGAACTTTTGACCGATATTCTAAAAAATGCAATGGACCTTTTTAAATATGCCAATAACCTCTATATTCCTTCTAGGCCAGTTATTTTTATTTATTTATTTTTTTTGCCGAGTTGTTAAAAAATTACAATCTCTATGCTGTTGACGCGTAAGAAAATGGCTTTAAAAAAACAAAAATGACCAGATAATTGTAGTAATTAACGTATTAATTAATATGCGAATTAATTATATTGTTTTATATTGATTAAGGTTAGTTAAAACCGACATACTTCAGTAAGATTTTTATTTTTTTATTTTAGCCTTTGAAATATATTTAACAAAAAATTTAATAGGTGACCTCTTTTAAAACAAACTGACGGCTAACACTAGATAATGTACTTAACAGATGTTCTAACCGATGGCTTTTGATTTTAAACTAGATAAAACATAATATCGTGCAGTAAAACATTCCATCCACATATATGTGTGTTACATACAGATGTGATCATGTGATATGTTTAAAAAAAGGAGCGGCTTATTTAAAAGCTGATGACGAAGCACCATTCCTTTGTTCAATGCCAATCTTTCAGTCTTTCGCGTGGTGGGTGACCTTTGGACCGATATACTAAAACTTAATCTGGAACTATTTAAAATATGTCTATGAACTTTTGTAAACTTTTCCATTGACCTGAATTCATCTAAAATGCAAATGACTTGCGAAATACACAATTGTCATTGGTTTTCTAGGTCTTGCATGAAATGGAAATTCACCGAACATGCAAATAATTTGTGACATACACTCCCTCATTGGTTCTGTTAGATGAACTTTATGCCGTCTGAACCGTATATGTAAATGACTTTGTTTCTGTGGTATATAACCACGATTCCATAAGACCTTCTTACCATTTTTCAAACTTGTGTATCAAAGGAATCCCTTCTATCCTTATAGATTTTTCATTCATTAGTTGTTTTTTTTCAATAAGTGATGAACATATGATTTATTTTAATTTGTTAAAATCATTTACCGATTATTTGTAGATATTTTTTTTTAATTTGATGGAAAGTTTGCTTCTGTAGTCAAATGTTTGAAATTTGAACAATATTTCATCTGCTGATAGTTTTATATTTAATGAAAGGTTTTAATAAAATGTGGTGGTATGATGAATCTGTTCCAATATTTGAATTATGAAAATAGTATGACCAAGTTTCCATGACCGAAATATGTTCTTTATATAAATGGGTTTTATTTTCGTTACACAGTATTTTAGATTCGATTTATATATTATAGCGGTGGTCACAGTTATCTTGTATGGAGTTATGACATGTTTTAGCACCATGTAATTTAATATCTTTGAGAACTAAAGAAAATGTCTTCTGTAAAGGCAATTTGGTGACTATGTTTAATTAACTCCAGTCTTTTAGTTGTGACATATGTTTTAATCATCAAAATAAAAGTCAAGCACCTTGGTGTCATTTGATATTCTTGAGAACCAAAGAATATGTCTTTGGCGTGGGAAAGTTTGGCATGTGTTATATACTATTCAAAAAAAGTAGGGGATATTTGATTTTTAAGTGTTATTAAAGTCACTTAATGAAACTGACGAAGAAACAAATGACAAAATGAAATGAAGTTCACATTCATCGATTTATTCCAAATGATCGTTAGACTAAGTAAGGCACAGACTGACCATTATAAAGGTAAAATGATACCCGGGGTCAAACAGCAAAGTTACCACAGCATCACAACCAAGTCAGTAACGGGTAAATCCTCCTCTGTTTGCCAAACAAGCATTGATCCGACGTGGCATACTCCTAATGAGACGTCTAAGGTCATTTTGGTCCAGATTGTCCCATTCCTGTTGCAACGCAGCAGCAAGTTCTTGGACATTGGCAGGACGTTGTTGACGTTGACGTAACCTCTGTCCAAGAATGTCCCAGACATGCTCGATGGGGGAGAGGTCGGGACTCATCATTGCTGGCCAAGGTAATGTGGTGATGTTCTGTTGTTGGAGGTAACCTGTAACGATCCTGGCCCTGTGACATCTTGCGTTGTCATCCTGGAAGATGAAACGGCGGCCATGACGTCGTGCGAACGGCACAACATGGACTGCCAAGATGTTGTCCCGGTAATACTAGCCTGTAACACGCCCTGCAACAACATGTAAAGCCGTTCTTCCAGCAACAGTGATGCCTCCCCACACCATAACAGAACCACCCCCAAATCGATCATGTCTGATGATGTTAACGTCTTGGAAGCGCTCGTTTCGACGACGCCACACCCTCCTACGTCTGTCCAAAAAATCAACAGTGAACCTTGACTCATCTGAAAACATCACATTGCTCCAGCGTCGATTATCCCAGTGTTGACGATCCCTACACCAACGACGTCTTGCCTGAATATGATGATCTCTCAAACAAGGGATCAGGCGAGGACGTCGGGCGCGAAGGTGACCCCTATGCAGTCGATTCCGAATCGTCTGGCCACTCACTCTCACACCAGTGTCTGTTTGAAGACGAGCGCTGATCTGATTTGCTGTGATGACACGATTTCTCAAGGCCAAGGTACGGATAAATCGATCCTGGGCCTGAGTTGTCGCCCTTGGTCGACCTAAGCGTGGTCTGTCCTGTACAGATTGTGTATCACGGTATCTGGACCATAGCCTGCTTATGACAGACTGAGAAACATTCATCGTCCGCGCCACAACCGCCTGTGTTGTGCCGATCTGTAGCATGCCAAGGGCACGTAACCTTTCATTTTGGGTAAGCCGACGCATATCAAAATTTGATTTTTGGTCACTAAAACAATTAAACTGATGTTTCCACCCTGGAATTCAATGCCACAATGACTGTAACATTCAAAGTCAGAGTCGTGCAAATCTTGGGTTGGACCCCCATGATGATCCCAAGCATCACCTGCATTCCATGCGGTAGCTATTGGTGCATTTGGGCGTCACATGTAACTGGAAATGTTTCTTCTGTTAGGTTCTATAGTGACTTTTTTCGTAGTCATTTGCATATTTTAGTATTATGCCCCCAAAATCAAATATCCCCTACTTTTTTTGAATAGTATATAACCAGTGTCTTAGCTGTGTCAGATGGTTTAGCTATCAAATTACAAGGCAACACGACTTTGGTGTCATCTGATATTCTTGAGAATTGAAAAATGCGTCTGTTGCGTGGCAAAGTTTGACAGGCGTTTTTATTGCCAGTGCCTTAGCTGTGCCAGATGTTTAAAATGTTTTCAAAGTATTTGCTTTTTTTTGACAAAAGATTTTGGACAAAGAAAATTTGATTTTGCTTAAGTAAATCCATCTTAATAAATGATGACTCCCAACACACACACGCATGCACAGAATGTAGAGAATGTAATTCAATGTTAAAAAAACGTACTTACCTATACGTGGCACGAATTATATACCCGTCATAAAATGTACACATTTCCCAGCGCTTGGAAATATATGACACCATACTATAACAGATGTGCTTTAACCTTTTTCCTTTAACTTAAAGCCTGATTACCTCCCTTTACCCCAGAACTCTTAGAAAGAGCCCCAACATATGCTGCTTCAAGGAGCGCAACAGTTTTTTGTATAATACATACACCATCCTACCGGTACCCATTTACAGCTGGGTAGACTGGAAATACAGGGATAAAGTGTCTTATTCAAGGACACAAGAACTCGGCGTACAATTCGGCTCGAACCTGCAACCATTCGGACACAAATCCTACTCTCTAACCATTGCGCCAAGTTTTATGTTACTCGAGATTAGTACAACCCCAACTTACCAACTTACTTGAATAAGGATGTTTCTATTCTAGTATTTGAAATATATATATATTTAAGAAAAACAAAAGTGGTTAGCTCTTTGAAAACAAGGCTGACATTGCATTATGTACTTAACAAGATGTTTTAACTGATGTTTTTATCGTGTCGTGGGTGATCATTTGAATGATATACTTAAAATATATGTGACCAATTTGAATATGTCAATATGAACTGTATATTCATACTCGACAGCTCCCATGTACACACACCCACACACTGCCATACCAACGCACAGATGTTGGCACAGCATTTTTACAGTGAAATATAGAGGACGTAATTCTAATTGAGCAAAATGTAATAACTTTTGCTTTCTTTTCTATCGTCGTTTTACAGGTCGAATATATTTCCTCAAATACATACATATACATTTACGGGACGGAACAATGTATGCTGAACCCAACATGTAACACTCATCTAGAGTGTCTACCGGTGGTATAATCATGTTATAAGGGAGCACGAATCTTTACCAAATGACCCCACTACAACACATGGCGCGAATTATATCGTTTAAAATTACCCGTCACACAAAATTTACACATTTGTCTTTGCTTTGGAAAATCTAACCAATCATAAACATGTATCCTACACGCATTATACGAATTATATGTTATCTCTTGAAATATGTAACCAATCATACATTTTTCTTGTAAATATGAATAAATCAATCAATAAATAAAATATACAAATTAGTTCAAGTCGGCAATTAGTATAATTCAAAAAGTTAGATGCCTTTCAGGACTTACATACTTAATTGATGATAACAGGTAGATTATAGATTTGCTTAAACTTAACATAGTTCGTATCACCAAATCGACTAATGGTGACACACACCCCTTTCACACACACCAATCAACCAAAATATACAGCCTCACAAACATCGACCCACATCGCAGTGCACTTATTCACACATTATTTGTACATGTCAATCCCTTTGGCTGTATTACATTTTAACATATTCAATATCACAACAGCGTTAGCATGCGGAATATTAACTAATATAAGTTGCGTTGAATTAACGAGTAAATTGTTAATTAATCTATTCTTTCATACAAAATAGTCTGAATTTTAATGTATTGATATCTTTAAAAGGTGGTCGGGTATCCGATCATTTACATCACCAGATACTATAGATTTACATTGGTTCAAGCGAATTATTATTCGTTAACTCTTAACTGTCTCATGGTGCCATTACCGTTCAGTGCGAATTATTAGTACCATTACCGTTCAGTGCCAATGATATGTCAATGTGTAGATGTTCTGCTAATGACGGATTACCGTCCATATTGAAGGACAGTGGTGCAGATGTTATTGAGGGTATATATTGTGATGGTTTTGTGTTAGAACGTCATAGAAATAGGCCTACGCATTATGTGGTTGTAATTTTGTAGTCTAGATAATTAAAAAGTATTCACGATGAATGATTTTTAGTTAAACCACCATTACAGAAACCCCACTGGCTTCCAGTTTGAGCGAGGAATCAATTTAAAAGTCTTGTAAATGTGTTAATTCGATTTCTTCTGACACAGTACCCGAGTATTTAAAAGAACTTTGCTTTCTATGCTCCCCGCAGTTCCAACCTGTGTAGTTCAGGTGATGGCAGCTTATTGAGGATTTCGAAATATAATACGCTTTCTGGTGAATATGTTTTTAATGTCAGTGCCGCTAAGATATGGAATTATCTTTCTCTTCCATCCAGGGCTTTAACATTCACCTAAAAGCATATTTATTTCAAAAATGTTTTTGAACGGTTTTGTTGCGAATGCTCTTAGAAACAGTCATGTGTAATGAAGCTCTATAAACATCGAACAATAATAATACTAATGATATACACCACATTTCCATGAAATATCTGAATTAGAGTATTTGGCACAGTAATCTATGAAAATACCATTAAATCGAGATCATTTTATCCATTTACATGAAGGGTCTATCAACAGCTGTCTTTTTGTTTTAAATGAGATGACTTTGAAATGCATATCTATATTTTAACACTATTGATCATTATGACGTTGGGAAGATAACCCTACCGGAAATACCCCCTCCAAGTGCCCTATTTTACTACTGTACTTACCCGCACTCATTAAAACAGAAATGTAGGACGTTAAACCCCATTTCATGTCAATTATATTATATTTTTATATAAATTGATGCTGCGTGATTGATATGTTTTTTTTTATGTTTTTGTTTTGTAGTTTACTGGGCGCCATGTTTCCACTACCAAGAATTCTATACGCAATGGCTACTGATAGTATTATATTTAAAGTATTAGCTCAGATAAACGATCGGTTTAAAACACCTTTATTAGCTACCATAATTACAGGTATCTTCTCAGGTAAATATACAACACATTCTACATTCATCATAGGTCTTGTGTACCACATGGGTGTACACGTAAAATAACCCCGTGCACGTAAAATGAAAATAAAATTTTCACCATATTAAACACCATATCATTTCCTTTATTCCTCGAATCAGTAAAATACTATTGTCGGAATACTGGTATATAAAATGCTATTGTTAGGATAATAGTGTATATATAAAATAAAATATTGATTTGATAATTAGATGTGATGATTAATACAAATGAGTATGTGGCGATAAAACATTAGTATTCACGCTAATTATTCACGCTAATATTTTAGTATATGGGAATATAGACCTGTACATGTCAAGCTAACATATCAGGGTATAGACCATTACTATTTAAATTGATATATTATCGGAATATATAGACTATTACATGTCAAGCTACCGTATAGCAATCTATTATCATTCACGTGATAGATTATTGGGGTACCTGTCATTTATCTGATGCGTTTGCATACTTCTACTTTCTTTTTGTACGAGTACAAGCCTGTCCATTCCCTATATTTTGTACTCGGGTGCTTTAAAATGTAAAAATACATTTGCAATGAATTAGTGTGTACATATTCGTTATATTTATTTTGAGATATTTTTAGTCATGTGAAACAATAATTATATTATTTCTTGTTTTGTAAAGGATATAATTATTATTTTTAGGTTTAATGGCGATGATGTTTAACTTAAAAGAATTAGTTGATATGATGTCAATAGGGACGTTATTAGCATATACTCTTGTTGCTGTGTGTGTATTAATATTAAGGTGAGTATATCTAGCGTTATATACTAGAGTATATCTAGAGTTATATACATAAATAAAGATAATTAACACTAAACAATTTTATCTGTATGAACTTTCTAATAGGGAGGGGGGTACAAAACCCAGCTGTTTGAAAACAAAAGTAAAACAAAGCTCCCTCCAAGTATTTATATTTATGAAATCCTGTCTGTTCCTCGGCGTAGAACTATACTTTGTGGTCGTCGATGAAGAGACTGCTTTCTTAAAATAATTTACTTAAAGCCCCAGGTTTTCTAATTCCCCTCCTGCAATAGCTTCCAGCAGTATCACCGGCCAAGTTGATGTAATCGGGACACACACATGTGTTATATCTGATTATCAGTATAGAATTCTGATAAACAAAAAAAAACCAATATGACTGTAAATCTACGTGAATGCTCAAACCTATACGGATGATAATATTTCAATGAGGTGATAAATAAATTGAGATACGTAGTATAACAGCAGTTGACTCATACAAGATAGTGGTGGTTTATCCTTACATAATACCAGTCGTTGGCGGTACAGAAATATGGAGAAAACCAGGGCACTCTCACTTGAACTAGAATGATTACAGGACAAGCCAGTGAAAAACGTCTTTCACCATGAGTAAAACGTCTACATTAATACTACTTAGAATATTGTTGAATGATAAATCATACTGGGTCTCGTGTTTTATAATTTATAGATATAGAACAGATGATCAACAACCAGGACATACGACTGAACATCAATCATCCACAGATGATCATAATATATTGTTTTCATCTAGAGATTTATTTAATTCACCATCCAGTACACCAACAAAACTAACACAGAAAATAGCCACAGCTACCATATCATTATTATGTAAGTTGTTTGTGTATTGGGGGGAGGGGTTACGGTGCCATGTAGTTACTAACCACAACTACCATATCATTATTATGTAAGTTGTTTGTGTATTTGGGGGAAGTGGGCACGGTGCCGTGTAGTTACTAACCACAAGGGTTCTAGGTTATATCAGGCGGTAGTCTAGAACGTTCCATGGGAATGTCCAGATAAATCTGTGTTCTATATGATTACACTGTGTTGTTGTATGTTGACAAGTTTATTAATAACGTTGTTGTATGTTTACAAGTTTATTTAAAAATAACGTTGTTGTATGTCTAAATGTGTATTTATACCGCAGTGTTGTTGTATGTTTACAGGTTTATCTATAACGTTGTGTTGTATGTTTACAGGTTTATCTATAACGCTGTGTTGTATGTTTACAGGTTTATCTATAACGCTGTGTTGTATGTTTACAGGTTTATCTATAACGCTGTGTTGTATGTTTACAGGTTTATCTATAACGTTGTTTTGTTGTATGATTATATTTTTATCTGGAGAATTAATGGAATATAAATGGTGGGCGATATCATTATCAATATTACCAGGATTAGTTATACTTTTATGTTTATGTATTATCTATAAACAACCACAGAGTACAACAGCTCTTAGTTTTAAAGTAAGTGGTCAATACTATCTTTAATTCCCAATACATATCATAGATATATTAGTTTTAAAGTAAGTAGTCAATACTATCTCTAATTTACAATACCTATCATAGATATATTAGTTTTAAAGTAAGTGGTCAATACTATCTTTAATTCCCAATACCTATCATAGATATATTACTTTTAAAGTAAGTAGTCCATACTATCTCTAATTCCCAATACCTATCATAGATATATTAGTTTTAAAGTAAGTAGTCAATACTATCTCTAATTTACAATACCTATCATAGATATATTAGTTTTAAAGTAAGTGGTCAATACTATCTTTAATTCCCAATACATATCATAGATATATTAGTTTTAAAGTAAGTAGTCAATACTATCTCTAATTTACAATACCTATCATAGATATATTAGTTTTAAAGTAAGTGGTCAATACTATCTTTAATTCCCAATACATATCATAGATATATTAGTTTTAAAGTAAGTGGTCAATACTATCTCTAATTTACAATACCTATCACAGATATATTAGTTTTAAAGTAAGTGGTCAATACTATCTCTAATTTACAATACCTATCATAGATATATTAGTTTTAAAGTAAGTGGTCAATACTATCTCTAATTTACAATACCTATCATAGATATATTAGTTTTAAAGTAAGTGGTCAATACTATCTCTAATTTACAATACCTATCATAGATATATTAGTTTTAAAGTAAGTGGTCAATACTATCTCTAATTTACAATACCTATCATAGATATATTAGTTTTAAAGTAAGTGGTCAATACTATCTCTAATTTACAATACCTATCATAGATATATTAGTTTTAAAGTAAGTGGTCAATACTATCTCTAATTTACAATACCTATCATAGATATATTAGTTTTAAAGTAAGCGGTCAATACTATCTCTAATTTACAATACCTATCATAGATATATTAGTTTTAAAGTAAGTGGTAAATACTATCTCTAATTTACAATACCTATCATAGATATATTAGTTTTAAAGTAAGTGGTAAATACTATCTCTAATTTACAATACCTATCATAGATATATTAGTTTTAAAGTAAGTGGTCAATACTATCTCTAATTTACAATACCTATCATAGATATATTAGTTTTAAAGTAAGCGGTAAATACTATCTCTAATTTACAATACCTATCATAGATATATTAGTTTTAAAGTAAGTGGTCAATACTATCTCTAATTTACAATACCTATCATAGATATATTAGTTTTAAAGTAAGTGGTCAATACTATCTCTAATTTACAATACCTATCATAGATATATTAGTTTTAAAGTAAGCGGTAAATACTATCTCTAATTTACAATACCTATCATAGATATATTAGTTTTAAAGTAAGTGGTCAATACTATCTCTAATTTACAATACCTATAATAGATATATTAGAATTCATTGTGGAGGTTTGTAATGTTCAGTAGATGACTACAATGTTGTAGTGTTTAACTCCGTACAGAGACTAGACGTGGTTTGTAATGTTCAGTAGATTACTACAATGTTGTAGTGTTTAACATCGTACAGAGAATAGACCTGGTTTGGTTTTGTCAATAAATAAAAAAAACCCAAAACATATACTTTAATTTGAACATTGATTTTATGGATCCGATATCTTTCATTATTCCTTAGGATTTATTACGTAAGATATTTGTACTAAATTATTCCACAAGGGAAATATTTCTGTCGGTTTGGATTATCCTTCTTTAAAGTAATTGATTACCATTAAATATTTGTAGGTTCCTGCTGTGCCATTAGTACCAACATTAAGTGTTTTAATAAATATTTATTTAATGTTGAAATTATCCACATCAACCTGGATCCGTTTTGGTGTATGGATGGTGTTAGGTAAATATATTGTTACCGTTGTATCTCCTGCTTATACCAAAACGCACATGCACACGCACACGCACACCCACACGCACACCCACATACATTACATTTCTAAATAGAAATCGACTAGAAGACCATCATTAATTTTATTATCTGAAAATGCATTACAAAAAATAACATAAGCAACGGTATAAATTGATATTTCATGTACACGTAAAATAAATAGATATTCGTTGTAACGCCTTGGAACCCCCGAACTTACCATAGTAATTCACTAGAACCAAGTAATGCCGAGATATATAAGAGGGTTTCACTACTACCAGATCACTAGTATTTCACCTCAACCAAGTAATATTACATTATCAAATGCCAATAAATTTCCCTCGGGCCTTTGTGTCAAGCCCTATTCTCATTTGACAAACTGCTAAGCTTGGGCTTTTCAATTATTTAATTTTTGAGATATATCTATTTAAATAAATGTATTGCTTAACAAAACGAATATCACGCCATTACTTCAGTTGTATATTTTCAACAAATAAGATTAGATTAAATTTATTTTTAATCATTATTTCGTTTCATCCTAGGTTTTTGTATATATTTTGGCTATGGCATCCATCATCCTGATCACAGCAAACAGCACAGCGACTCACCAGCACCTCCTTCTCCTCTTCCAACCCATTCACTTGATGAATCCTCAGACAGTGCCGATAGTGATAATAATTATGATATTTGTTGTGATACGAAAGAAAAGTCGGCACTTTTAAGAAAAAAGGGCAAATCTTGATGTCGTGTGTATGTTCCCAGGTACTAAGCTGTAATATTTTTTTCGTCTTTTTTTAATGAAAGAAAGTTTATTGTGAAAGCGTTAAATGGTGTTACCTCCCCTGTACCAAGAATTATGGTTCACACAAGACCACACGCTTATTCAATACTCCGACATATAGTCCCGGAAACTATTGCATGTTTTCTATTCCGAGCCACAAAGAGTGAGGTAACTCTAAGGTCAGTGTTTTACATATATGATGCAGATTTCCCTTTAAAGCTCCCTCAACCCTTCCACGAAACCTGCAAACCTTTAAAGCTCCCTCAACCCTTCCAAGAAAAGTGCAAATCTTTAAAGTGGAGCAGAATTAATCTTAACTATGAATTCCAGGATTCATCATCTATTTTGGTTATGGCATCTGGTTCAGTGCAGAAGGGCGACGTCTTAGAGAACTGACGTCCACGACATCATTTCCGTCTGTTTATCATGACGTCCCCGATGCTCCAGCAACCTATCCTAAATTAATCAACCGTGAAGAGGAATCTTCAATACCATATCAGTCTATTGACAACGGGTCAGCTTTTCCAGAAAAATGAAGACGAAAGAAAAATTACTCAACCTAGTTACAACAATTTTCTTACTCAAATTTGTTTACGTTCCCCAAAAAGTGAGAATAAAGGTCGTGTAGGTATATTCCCTGGAACCTTAAAATAGACGAACATCGATCTAAAGCCACATTGTCATGTAATGTTCATGAATATTTACATTCAATTTTTAAAAGCTGTATTGTAATTTCTAATCAATTAAGTTCGGTGAAATACGCGAACAGTCCAAATTATTATTTTATCTTTTGTAAATCAGCCATTACTAATTACTTCCGCATTGTCTTGTATGATATGTGTTGTTCTTTGTTCATTACCTATGGGCTAAATATAACCATAGAGTACCCGACGCAGCGTATTGCTTTTTAAAATTTTCATTATGTCCAATACTTTCACGGTAAGATAACAACATCAATATTGAAAAGGACCAATATAGAATTCAAATTTGTGTTTTTAATTTCCAATGTTATGGATAATATGGGGTTTAGTTCCTTTAAATACAAAAACATACTCGGGGAATTATCCGGACCTTTATGTTACGTCATCGGAAACTGTTTATTTCATCATCTGTTAATGCAATCCGTTATCACCTGCTGTGTATTTAAATACGCTATTATGCCCCAGTGGGGATGTTGTTCCTCTTAAAACATATATTTCCTTTGAAACATTTGATTATCTTTCAAGAGAAGGTAATGTTATGCTATACCATATGGAAACAGTTTAGCGATATACAGAATCAAAATAATGAATCAAGTTCAATAAAAACTAACCAACTGACAAAAATTTCAAAATCCTATCTATTAAGCAATTCAGCAGGGGAATTTGAAATGATTTCAGGTGCCACCTTTATCGTAAGCTATTTATTGTAACACTGAGGTAAAGGTCTTAAATCATTCTACATTTAAAGTGAATATCATAGTTATAAATCTGTTTGTACCGAGTCCCTTAAGTGCACGATTCCACTTCTATTTAATAATTTTGTCAAAATGAAATATCAATTCGTTATATGAGAGTGGACTCGTGCACTTAAACGGCGGCACCGTGTATGTGTAAGTTCACTTGCACTAGTAAAGGGGGGTAGTGAAACCCCACCGAATGTAGTCACAAGAACACGGGTCAACGACTTCATCTCTGGTTTTTAGAAAAGAGAGCCAGCAGCCGTTCTTAAATAGACTCTAGGCATGTAAATATTTGTTATTGTAAAAAGTACCAACCTATTTTGTCATCTTAATCCAGTCATGAATAAATTGTTTTATCTTTATTGTTGTATTTTGCTATAGATCTATCTACCGCCATTAACCTTATTGCACGTGGTGGGAATTAGGGTTAAAGTTCAGTTTAAATTATAATTTTGGTCATCATGGTCTTTATCGTGGTCCATACGTGCATTAGCTACCCTTTGTAAGAATGGGGCTACGATTGTCAGATTGAAATCGTGAGCAAACGCGATCTTTTATTGGTTCAAGACTGGAATTGCCGCGGTAGATTATTATTAAAATGTTTACATGGTGTTATCGAGTAAGACATATTAGTGGAACGAGTGAATAGATCTAGATCCGCAACAGTGAGCAGTTAAATCAGTTTTAGGCCTGCAGCCAGAATGTCTAGCTTGCATAGAAACATATATCCCATCTATACATTTTTGGAAAGGTTCTAACACCACAAATTCCAGAGTTCCAAGAAGAATGTTTGCCCGCCAAAGAAATTATAGAATGGAACATGCTAAAATCGGAGTCAGAGGATATGTTTGAAATTGGTTGAACAATTTGTTTATAAAGTAATGGAGATCAGAATCTGACAGCAACATTGTAAATTACTTTGAAATCACGTGATTGTTTCTACTAAAATGTAAACCCACAACCTACATAATAATAATACTATAACAATAATAATTAATTTTTCATATAGCGATTTCCCTAAAAAAAACAATCTCGCCGCTGTACATAACGTTTATAAACATTTAAAAACATTAATTGGTCACTAGACATAACCGCATTTTGTTGAATAACATTTTCTAAAAAGGTATGTTTTTAAAGAGCATGTAAAAGATACCAAGTTCGTAATAGACCTCAACTAACCAGGCAAGAAATTCCATAGGGTTGTTGCAAAGACACTGAACGCGCGATGACCATAAGCTCTTGACGGTTTGGGTCGAAGTGGTTGATACAAAAGTTTCACATCGTCAGCAAAACGAAGATTTCTCACTGATGTAGCAACATAAATTAGGTCAGTGAGATAGAGTGGTGCAGATGTTGTATGATGGATCAATTAAACTGGACCCGAGCTTCGATTGGTAGCCAGTGGAGTTCCATCAATATAGGCGCCATATCTGCATGACGCTCCAGCTTGCGTTTGACTATCAAGCTAGCAGCAACATTCTGAATGCTGCAATTTACGAAATTAGTAACCATATGAACCAAACAGTAAGCTATTGCAATAGTCCAATTGTAAACTAACAAATGCGTGGAAAAGCTTCTCATTCGTTCTCTGATCAAGGAGCCTCCAAAGTTTGCCAATGTGCCATAGCGCAAACGACGCCATCCTACACACATTAGTGATACTGGTGTCAATGGTTCCCTTCAAATCCATCAACAGCCCAAGATTCCACACCAAATCCGTAGGAGAGGCGTGTACCTCCCCACTCCGCACAACGTTCATGACAGATCGGGCAGCGATATCTTTAAAGCGGGATGAAACCCGCAGAACCTCCGCCTTTTATCGTTTAATGCTAGCATATTCCCCAATGACGGATTTCGTCCACACAAGCCTCAATACGATGCACCATTATGTAATCAGTCAGTTTTCACCATCCTCCTTTCAACCCTTCTTAGTAGTCACCTAGGGTATTGCTACTACACGTAGCTGTAAACCTTTATTTCAGATACGATTTAAGCCCCAATTACAAATATATTTAAATTGAAACAGTATCAATAAATAGGTAATCTGCTCACAAATATAGATTTAATGCAAAAACTAAATGCTGAAAAAGAGAAAGTAAAGTAAAGTAAAGTAAAACAATCATCCAAAATCAAAAATGTCAACAAACTTAGTCATCGTCATCGTCACTATAAATATTCATTCTTACATTGACTACACTTACATAGATATGTACAAGACAACTCTGCTGATTTTTCTGGTGCGGTTTCCCCTTGTCAGTGGTGCAGGTTGCTGAACCTGGAAAGGACAGTGCCCAATCGTTCGGATGGTACGAAAAACAATAGTTAGTTTAAACAATATTTGATTCAACAAACTAAATCGGATTCAAGAACAGGAAAGGACCTTTATCAGTTATATCTCCAAACAGTATTTCTACGTATAGCTGTAAACATTTAGTACGATTTGAGGCTAAATTCCTAACAAATATTTGAATGAAACAAAGCATCTATAAATATGTAATTTTCTCACAAAAATAGATATATGACAAAGAACTAAATCATACTGCAAAGGAGTGGCGATTGTAATGAAGAGAAAATAAATCAAAAGGAGTGTGTGGGGGGGGGGGGGGCACGGTGGCTTGGCGAGTAATAGGTTGGCTCGCTAACCTGGACGTTCCGTGTTCGATCTCTGCGTTGGCCGAGAAAGTTCATCTTGATTTTCCTGCGTGTTTCCTCCTTGTCAGTGGTGCCGGGCCTAGGGCCTAGCAAAGGACAATGTATAGTCGTTCAGAGGGGACGGAAGGCCGAGGTCCCATGTACACATTGGCGTGCACGTTAAAGATTCCTTGCCGGTTGGAATTCAATATAAGAGTAGGTCGTAGTGCAGCTGTCCGTGATTAACCCAGTCGGAGCAGCACAGTAGGACGTTAAACCCCATTTCATTTTGTTGCCACTGGTGTCTGGTTTTCAATCTATTTGTTTATAATTAATGACCCGACTAAAAGATAATGCCCCAATGTTCTAGGATCAACGTTTGTACTCATTAAGTTTTAGTCTGGGTTTTGTTTCAGTTTTTGTCTTCATTGTGGTTGTTGAGTTGGGTTGATTTTGGCGGACGGTGCATTTATTTCTTTATCTTAGAAGGATGGGCGGGACTGTTTCGTATGAACACATGCCACAAATATAATTATTAGTAAGAAATTTTTCCTGTTCGAATTTGAATAGTTAATCTCTAATCATTGCATTAACAGCATTGATTGGCAGCAATGAATTAGATTTGGTAACCAAGCACTGATTTTGCATCAGGAACAAGATCTCGGGGTGGTACGAATACGAATATTTACATCGTTAGGAGAGGTTCAGGGTATACTCTCTGGGACATTTTAATATGTGTGAGACATACTGGAATCTATCCAAGATAGATACTGGATGAAAAATACGATAAAATATGAAGTAATATAGAACAGAATCTGCCAATAGCGCAAAATCTGTTAACGCATACCGCTTCACTGCGTCTCCGTCACTTACCCCCTGATCCAAGCAGGAATGTTACCCTGTCTGTGTGGCAGATATTACAACTTTGATATGTTTATCAAGACTGACGAGCAAATGGAGATACCCCACCGGCTTTGAACTATTCAATAACCACATAGTTTGAAAAGAAATACTTAGATTCTTTTAATTTTATTAAGATTGAAAAATGCTGTTTTCGATAAGAAGACGCCTCACAAGTGTATTCACGCAATCTTACTGACATCTAATGAAGCTATATAAGACATTTGATACTAACTCTAACTGATTTTAATAGTCTCGGATATAAACCTTCAGGATACGGTTGGTAATGGTCTAACCCTTATCCGGGATCTTGCCACAACTCTCGGTTATCAAGACGGGTGTAAGCTGGAGTGACTTTAACTTCACAGACAAGGTAAGCAAGCCTACCACGGCTCCCTGCGGGATTAGGAAGAATATTTTACGTTTTCGCCGACAAGTCATAAAATATTCATTATAATGATGAAGACACGGATACCTTACTAGTGAAAGGTAAAAAATATCACCTTAAAGCAGACGAAACACGTCAACTTGCTTTAATAAAACCAGTTTGAGAACTAAACCATGAAAAACAAGATACTTTCCGAAAAATATAAATCACAATCATCGCTAAACCCGTCCTATTCTCTTTAATAAAACTGAATTACAGATTTAAATTTCAGAGGATGTGACATTAACCACAATAACTGATAATATTTTTTAAAGAGTACATTTATCTAATAACCAATTATTGTTAGTTCCGATAAATTCCTTTCAAATTATTGCGTTAATCGAGTTTCGTTCTTTGTAAAAAAAAAATGATTTTTAATAAACGTCGTATAGTTTTTTATTTAGCAATCTTTCATATATCTTTCTTTGTGATGTTTCTAGCAAATAAATGGCATTTTTAGTGGCCATTCACTGCAAACATCGATCGTGCCATTTTTTTTATTATATAAAACGGTTGAATTTCTCGGGTAGAACATTAAATTTGAGATATTCCAGATACACGGAGTTTAAGCGGATAGTGTTTCATTAGACGACAATTTTTTATTGACACAAACAAGCGATATCTATAAGTCTTGGATTTAGCGATTTGGCACATTAAAAACACAAAGACCAATCATATGGAATATAGTCTAATTGGTGATAACGTCGGCTTTCGCATAGTGTGATATCGCATCACATGTACTACGTATACTCTGGTTAAAAGAACGTGACATGTTTCTGTGTTGTGATCATATCACTCTATGTAAAAGCAAGTGTAAACCCCATCTATCCAAGTACTAAATAAACTGACACATTAAAGATACGTTATTTAATATTTAGACAAAACTATAATAGTTCCAAAATAGATAATGCAAAATGAATACACTTTTAATTACATTATTCAGAGCGAAGTTATCACCGTGGAAAGTTTTGACAAGATGTGCGCATTGATTGTTTACTATCTTAACCACACTTCCCCATGTTCAAATTGAATCATTAAATGTCCGTACCGTTCTAATCTATTTAAAATCTGAGCCACCCGACGGCACCGAGGGTTGATTATGATCATGTCGTGTTAATAAATGTCCAATTAATAATTTAGAGAACATCTAAGACCCAAAGAAACGCATGTAAAATGCAGATTTAGCTCTTGAATAATGTATTTTTAATGTCTTGGATGATCTCTAGTCGACGCTTGATATTACATCACCGATAAAGGCGTTTAACCATTCTTTCTATTCCTGTCTCATTACATTGAAGATTTTGCAACGGTCTGTTCATCCTCCCAAATGAGCGATGTTTCTTTAAATGCTTGTATTTTATGAGGAATGTGGCTAAATGCTTGTATTTTATGAGGAATTTGCCT